ATCAAGGTAATGCTGGCCTCATAGAGTTTGGAAGTTTTCATTCCATTTCTATTTTTTGGAACAGTTTCAGAAGAATAAGTATTAATTCTTATTTAAATGTTTGGTAGAATTCACCTGGGAAGCCATCCAGCCCTGGACTCTTGTTTGTTGGAAGATTTTGGATTACTGATTCAATTTCTTTCCTAGTTATGGATCTCTTCAGGTTTTCTATTTCTTCCTGTTTCAGTTTTGGTAGTTTTTATGTTTCTAGGAATTTATCCATTTCTTCCAGATTGCCTAATTTGTTGGCATGTAACTGCTCATAATGATTTCTTATAATTATATTTCTTTGGTGTTGGTTGTGATCTCTCCTCTTTCAATCACGTTTTTATTTATTTGGGTCCTTTCTCTCTCTCTATCTTTGATAAGTCTGGCTAGGTGTTTATCAATCTTCTTAATTCTTTCAAAGAAACAGCTCCTAGTTTCATTGATCTGTTCTACTGTGATTTTTTTTTAATTTTTATATCATTGATTTCTGCTCTAATCTTTATTATTTCCACTCTCCTGCTGGATTTAGGCTTTATTTGCTTTTCTTTTTCCACCTCCTTTAGGTGTAAGGTTAGGTTGTGTATTTGAGACTTTTCTTGCTTCTATAGGAAGGCCTATATTGCAATATACTTCCCTCTTAGGACTACCTTTGCTGCATCCCAAAGGTTTTCGACTGTCACATTTTCATTTTCATTTGCTTCCATTTTTTTTAATTCTTTAATTTCCTGGTTGACCCATTCATTCTTTAGTAGGATGTTTTTTAACCTCCATGTATTTGTGCTTCTTCCAAATTTTTTCTTGTGATTGACTTCCAGTTTCATAGCATTGTGGTCTGAAAATATGCATGGTATGATCTCAGTCTTTTTTTTACCAGGTGAGGCATGATTTGTGACCTAGTATGTGATCTATTCTGGAGAATGTTCCATGTGCACTTGAAAAGGATATGTATTCCTCTGCTTTAGGATGAAATCCTCTGAATATATCTTTTAAGTCCATCTGGTCCAGTGTGTGATCCAAAGTCTTTGTTTTCTTGATCTTCTGCTTAGATGATCTGTCTATTGCTGTGAGTGCGGTGTTAAAGTCCCCTACTATTATTATATTATTATCAATGAGTTTCTTTAACTTTGTTATTGATTTATATATTTGGCTGCTCCCAGGTTAGGGGCATAAATATTTATAATTGTTAGATCTTCTTGTTGGATAGATACTTTTATTATGAGATAGTGTCATCCTTCATCTCATTACAGTCTTTGGTTTAAAATCTAGTTTTTCTGATGTAAGTATGGTTACTCCAGCTTTCTTTGATGTCCATTAGCATGATAAATTGTTCTCCACCCCCTCACTTTCAATCTGGAGGTGTTTTTGCATCTAAAATGAGTCTCTTGTAGGCAACATATAGATGGGTCTTGTTTTTTTCATCCATTCTGATACCCTGTGTCTTTTGATTGGAGCACTTAGTCCATTTACACTAATTACTGAAAGATATGAATTAAGTGGTATTGTACTGTCTGTAAAGTAGCTGTTCCTGTAGATTTTCTCTGTTCTTTTCTAGTCTTTGTTACTTTTGGTTTCTCTTTCCTGCTCAAAAGGTCCTCCTTAATATTTCTTGCAGAGCTGGTCTAGTGTTCATGAACTCCTTTAGTTGTTGTTTGTCTTGGAAACTCCTCATTTCTCCTTCTATCCTGAATGACGGCCTTGCTGGTAAAGTATTCTTGCCTGCATTTTCTTCCCATTTAGCACACTGAATATATCATGCCAGTCCTTTCTGGCCTGCTAGGTCTCTGTGGACAGGTCTACTGCCAGCCTTATGTGTCTACCATTGTACATTAAGGACCTATTTTCCCTAGCTGCTTTCAGAATTCTCTTTGTATTTTGCAAGTTTCACTATGATATGTCATGGTGTTGACCTCTTTTTGTTGATTTTGAGGGGAGTTCTCTGTACCTCTCGGACTTGAATGCCCGTTTTTCCCCTTGATTAGGGAAGTTCTCAGCTATAATTTCTTCAAATAAGCCTTCTGCTCCTTTTCTCCACTCTTCTTCTGTGACTCCTATGATATGGATATTATTTTTTCTTATGGAATCACTGAGTCGACCTTTGTGAACTAATAGTTTTCTTTCCCTCTTCTGTTCAGCTTCATTATTGTCCATAATTTTATCCTCTATATCACCTGTTCTCTCCTCTGCCTCTTTAATCCTCATTTGATTATATTGTCTGTTTTTCATCTTAGTTATAGCATTTTTTATTTCAGCCTGACTAGTTTTTAGGTCGTTTATCTCTGCAGCAAGGGTTTCTCTGGTGTCTTCTATGCTTCTTTCAAGCCCAGCTAGTAGTCTTATGACTTTTGATCTAAATTCTTGTTCAGATATATTGCTCCTATCTGCTTTGAGCAAGTGCCTAGCTATAATATCTTCCTGATCTTTCTTTTGGGGAGAATTCCTCTATCTTTGTCATTTTGACTAAGTTTCTACCTTTTGCATGTTATGAAAGCTTGTTATGTTTCCTGTACCTTAGAGTAATGATGTATTAAAAAGAGGTCCTACACTGTCTAGGGCCTGGCACTTCAGGAAGAGTTTCTGCTGTATGCTGTATGCACTCTGCTATTGGGTTTTGGCTGCTCTTTCCCGCTGGTCTGTCCTCTGCAGACTTCCTCCTTGCCTATAGTAGGAAGTGTTTGGACCTTTATCTAGGTGTGCTTTGATCTGTTTGTTGGAAAAAAGCATGGAAAAAAAAAGAAAGGCAAAAAAAGAGGGGGGGGGAAGCCTGATTCAGAGACAGAGAGAGAGAGAGAGCGAGAAAAGGAGAAAGAACAACAAAAAAACCCCAAGCAACCAAAAAAAAAAAACAAACAAAAAACAAAAAAAACCCAAAACCAAAAAAACTATAAGCCTGATTCCAAGGAAAAAATTAAAAGAAAGAAAAAGAAAAAAAGTCTGATCAAAAAAAGAGAGCGAGAGAGAGAGAAAAAGATATGGAAAAAAACAAACAAAAAACTATAAATGTGATTCTAAAGGAAAAAAAAAATACAGCCTGGTCCTATTTGCACCAGAACTTAAGGGGATGCTGTGAGGCACTGGGGCATGCGCAGTGCCGTCTGTCTTGCTCTTCTGGGGGAGAACCGCCCTGTTTTGGCTCAGAGTCAATCCTGCCCGAATGAAAAACCACTTGCCAAGCACAGTGGGGGCAGGTTTTGGTGTAAGCGACTCCCACGTCTACTTGGGGCTGTGTTGCTCTCTGAGGTCCAATCCTGTGGGTAGCAAGGGCAATATGATGCCACCCAACTCTCTCATCCACCAACAGGGGGAATCTCACACCGCCTGCTGTTCAGAAGCCCTCATGGAAAAGTAAAGGCCTTCAGCATGCCTGACGCCACAACTCTGCTGCGTTTTATCTTTGTTGTGGCTGGGATTCAAAATTCCAAATCTTAAAGGAGCCGGCACCTAGTCCTCCTCTGGGTTAGCGTCTTGCTGCTCTCTGACTAGTGCCCTTTCTCCCACAAAAAGAGTCCCATGCCTGCATGGCGGATATTTTCTATACTGCGGCACCATGAAAAGCAGTGACAGTCATCCACCCTCTGCACGTACCTTTGTCCCCTGCCAATGAAAGGCCATTTGTTGGCGTGTGCATGGTCTTGTGTCCTTTGGGAGGCAATATATCCTCTTCCAAATGTATTCCACCAATAGGAATGATCTCTCTCCCAGCGCAACCCGGCAGATCCCTGCACCACTTTGTGCGTGCTCTGAACCAGAGCCCTCCTCCCCAGAAGCACAGGCTACAGCTCTGCCCCGGTGGAAGTCACACACTTCCAAAACTCGAGTTTTGCTAAAACCTGCAACACTCGGTTCCCATTTCCGCAGTCTGGTCCGAGAGGCTCTCATCTTGTGCGAACCCAACGCCACACACTCTCACCCCCGGCCCCCTCTCTCCCTTTTTTCCCTGGAGAAAAGGGTTCCTTCCCTCCACGTCTCTGAAGATTTTGTCTCCCCCAATTCACTTCCCCGGCACCTTGTATCTGCCACGGTGTCTCCCTCCAACCACAGAGAATCTGCTTCAAATATTCGGATGGATTTCCTGCATGTTCCAAGTGATCTGATCTCAATACAGCTGTGTACGAGGGATGAGGAAAACCCAGGTTCCCCCTACTTCTCCATTTTCACTCCACCACCAAGGATTTTTTTTTTTTTTTAAAGATTATTTATTTATTTTAGAGCTAGAGAGCGAGCGCAGGGGGGTTGGAGCCAGAGAGAGGGGAACAAGCCGACTCCGTGCTGAGCACAGAGCCCGAAATGGGGCTGGATCCCATGACCCTGAGATCATGACCTGAGATGAAATCAAGAGTTGGGCGCTTAACTGACTGAGCCACCCAGGCGCCCCCATGATTTAATTTTTTTTTTTTCAGGACAAAATGTATATTGTGCCTGTGGAAATAGCCACTTGATAATTTTATAGACTCATCTTGTACATCTTTCATTTCCTCTTTTTATACACCTTTTTTTTTACATGCCATAGAGCCGACCTGATTCTACAAAAAACATAGAACATGTCAAAGAATAAAGTAACAGATCTTAAGGTAGTTACCTTATTATTTATCTCGTATCACTGTATAATCGGTGAGTTAACTCAGAAGGATCTACATGTTTGGATAATAATTGCAATTTTTTTGTTCCTGTTCCTACTTTAGCATTTAGCAGACTTCTTCATAGACATTATTCCATTTGATCCTTAAAAGCATTGTAGGATATAAGAGATTTTCTATCTCTGTTTTAAAGGTTAAATTCAGGGAGTTTAAGTGAGTTGCACAGATTATGAAGAAAAGTAAAGTTTTGGCTAAAATTCATTTCATGAAAGATCTTTTTCCATGATTTAATTTTTAAAGGTATTAATCATCTTCTATGAAAACATTCAATAACAGGTTAGGCATCTGTTATAAAAATAAGCTATCAAAAGAAGAAAAGACTCAAAAATAACTACAGAGTGAAACCAATTACTGTGACTTTATTACAATAGTTACAAACAATATTTTAGTGGTAATCATATCACAATTACTCAAACTATATACAAACTGGTATTTTTACAAGACTACATTTTAAAAAAAGAAAAAGCAATTAATGACCGAAAAAAAAAAATCACATTATCAACAAGATTTTTTCTAAAAGTTATGGCCAATAGCAAAAATTCACAGTTACTCTGAAAATATTTTAAAGATGCAGGAATCATATTGCACATAATACAATTATAAACCCTACTGAGCAGATTTATATATTTTAATCTAGTTTTTCACAAAATTTACATTATCATGCAATACTTCACTGTATACAGAATGGTGGAACTAGAATACACAGGTTAACTTACAAACTTTCAATATAATGGCCACAAAATTAGAGTTATTTTAAGTTATACGGAAAATAATTTTACTATACAAAAAGAAAAAAAAACACTCCAGTGTAATAAAACTTAATGGACACAATCATAATTTGTTCACATATCAAGTTACTTTTTTAGTGTTCTTCTTTGTCTTTTCCTTTCTTTTCCTTTTCATCCTGTAGTGCAGTACCGAGTTTTTTTATAAGTACTGACAGAACCTTGTCAAGTGGGTCCATGACTCCTCTTTGAAGCCATTTAGGAATAGTAGTCCTGGCATGATGGAAGCCCAGTTTTTGAAGAATGTAATCAACACCCACTGGATCAATCTTTCTTCCAGTCCAAGATATTAATCTAAAATTATAAATAATAGGTATTAAGGAATACAGTGCCATAACTCAGTTCTGAAGGTAGGTTCAAGAACATCACTAAGCCTCCATAATATGCTCAAGACAGACTATTCTCAGTCGGTGTAATAGAATAATCTAAGCTACAATTCCTGGATTTACTATAACAGCATTAAAAAAATATAAGTATCCTTGAGAGCCTACACATAGCAGTGGAGTTAAGTGAATTTCATTCTGATTATTTCATTTTAGGTCTCTTAAGTTACAGGGTCATCCTGACATTTAAAAAACATCTGGTTCATTCTAAAAGACATTAACTTGATGGCAGGAATCCTTTTACAATGTGTACATGTATCAAATTATGACACCGTCCACTTAAAATATCTTACATGTTTTATCAATTATACTTCAATAAAGCTGAGAAAAAAATAAGAGTTCAACATATATGTGACATAATGTGGGGGAAAAAAGGCTAAGACTTCCTGAGTCTTTGCTATGTGCTAAACATGTCTGAAGGAAGAACCATTTTCTTCCTATTCCTGGTATTTCCTTCCATATAGAGGAATAGCTATTAGTGAAACACTCCTGGCCTTTCTCAGCCCCTGTATTCATGACTTAATCCGATGGCAAGTTGACAGAGGAACTGGGTTGTGTGCTTCCGTACCCTCTTCCTATCTTCTCTTAAGAGCTGCTCATTTTGGTCTTTGCTCCATGCAACAGGTTTCTCTAGGACAGGCCCCTAAATAAGTTAGCCCCAGAATGTCAAAGGCTCTCCGTGGCTAGGTGAGTTCACAGGGCTGCAGAATGCAGAACTCAAGGTGGGGGTGGGCACACAACTTTGGTGCTCTGCATGATGAAGACCCTGTAGGTAAGTCCAAACCTGGACTTCGTGGTTAGAAGGCCATTGTTGCCAGACATCCAAACCATATTCTCTGTTATGAGCTTTATCACTATTAAAACTGTCGTTTTGATTTCCAGCTGCCTCTCTCCCACTGTTTCAATTGCTTCTGAACTTGGGTAGGGAAAAGGCAGTATGAAGCACTGATCTGCTAAGACTCAAATAGTTATAAGCATTTTGCATTAATTAACTCATTTAACTATTGTAACAACCCTACAAGGTAGGTAATACTGTTTACCGAACTTTTCTTATGAGGCAACTAAGGCAGAAATAGGTTAGGTCGTTTGGCCAAGATCATTTAGTTCACTATGCCATCTAGACAACCGGACTTAGAGCTAGAGTTCCTCAACATGCTCTCTGCCACTACACCATATTAACTAGTCTCCTGATGGTATGTTTAAAAAAAAAAAAAAAGAAGAATGGCAAATCAAACTTTTTATGCTCATTTTAAATTAAAAGATACTTAATTTCATCATAGATTTATAAATACAAAACAAATTTCTAAGTTTTCTGCATTAGGATCTTTGCAATATTTTAATTTTGTTCTGAGTATTGGCACTGTTAATACTTCTCATGAGTGTATGTACTGTTAATTAATGCCAAATTTTATTACATACAAATTATTAACACAAAGTTACTACTTTCTGCTTATACAAGAGTCCACTGTATAATGGATATTTGATTGCTATGGAATTATTTTGTGGCATAAATGTCTGAAATAATAACCTTATCTAAATGAAATCTGTTTTGTTCTGCAGAATGTTGTGTCAGAGTACGATGGACTTTTTTTTGCTACTGTTATTCCATGATTCAGACAGTTAAAATCTGTAAGCAGATGAGAGGAAAGGGGAAAATGACAGGAAGGTTGTGAGTGCTAACCATAAACAAGGACAAACAAGGCAAGCACCACTAGTTACAGCAGCCATTATAAATGTAATTAAGACTAGAAAATACTTTTGAAATTTTCATATGAAAATAAGTTGATATAATTGGGATCATGATTGTAGTAGAACATGTCTCTGTAAATGAACCTGAATGTGACAGCATTAAATTCAACATTTCAGGGATGGTTCTATATTGCTTAGCATGCAGCCAGACGACCCTGTGACATCGTAGGTTCTATTACGCTGTCGGGACATGTGTGAGAAATTGTATTAATTCCTTAATGATGATGTACGGCCGTTACCGTATCTTCCCAAACTAAGAAACAAAAAGTTTACTGCAGGTCCCTCAAACACCTGAAAAGAATGTCCTGGTAAAAAAGATGGTAAAGAAATTATGGCAATGGTGGAGGTGGAGTTATTCTCATCTTCTAGTGACTGACTGAGAGGGTGTCACTCAGTGGAGAGTGCTGAGCTAGTTGTGGTGTTTGTGCTTCTCTTGCCTTGCACTAGAAGCACTTAAAAAAAGCAGAAAGGAGCAGAAAAGACAGCCAGAAGTTAGAGATGTTATAAGTAGCTAACTCCTAAAAACTGTTTTTGGTAAACCATCCTTAACTTGCTACATTATTTATGACCTCTTTCTCACGATAATCCCATAGGATACAGGTAAATACATACACCCACTGCTTACCTGAGAGTGGGTTCTAGATGCCATGTGTTGCACATAAAATCTCTCCAGTCCACAGTAGTGTAAGTGATGCTGTCCTCTCTGTCTTTGTCAGAGGAATTGTCATCATGTATAATAATTGGACTTTTCTGTCCTGGTCGAGTAGATAAGACCCGAGGTGGAAAAATGGCTATAATGAAAATGATAGATTACTATTACAAATATATATCTTATAAATTTATTTAATTCACCATATGAACAGTATAATAGGCTCCAGTTATCATTTTACTTATGAACTGGCCAAAGCCTCATTTAATTCCCTTTCTGAAAAACTAGTATTTTAAAATAAGCCATAAATAACTGCCAGTTATTGGTATTTCTTAGAGAAAGACAATGTCAAAGTTAACATGCCATTTTTTTTTGAGGAATAGCATATACTTTACATGTATTTGTGTGCTTAAAACTAATGGTAAAGAATGCTGAGATTTATTTGATAGCAAGCATAGGGCACTGAAATTGAGGTTTCCTAAGAATGGCTACAGGTGGACATTTTTTAACAGCTGAACATTAACATCCTAAACATCCTAACAGCTGAACATTAACATCCTAAACATCCTAACAGCTGAACATTAACATCCTAAAACTATGGAGTGGTACACTTTAAATGAGTGAACTGTAAAGTGTACCACTCCATAGTTTTAGGATGTTAATGTCCCTCTATATATTTGAACACTGGTATTTAATTTAGGAGCTTTTTATGTAAGCAGTCTTTCACTTTTTATAGTGAATACTCAAATGTTTTATGAAGGAAAAATTCTTTTTAAATTGGTGATCATAATATATATAAAATTAAAATCAAATCTGAGACAAAAGCAGTTTTCATTTGGCAAACTTTAATATATATAGCATTTCTCTTAGAGCATAGGTTTTCAAGACACAAATTGGGCATAAAGTAACAAATTAGGTAATATGATAGTCATTATGTAACTCTAGTTTTAACTTTATTGTGAATTAGCAGTAGGGATAACATGTTGATTGGGAATGAGCCTAGGAATAAAACTGTCCTTAGGTTCACACTACATAAGTATATAGATGCCTTCAGTTACTGCCTCCTCACAGTCGCTCTGCTTTTATTACTGGTAGTCGTTAACAGTGCTACAATTTATCTTGATGTTCTAGAAGTATGTTGATTCTGGTCTAGTCTTCCATGCTGTCAAAGATAATTCTCAGGCAAGTTTATGCTTATATTGGTCAAAACTAATTGCTTTTAGTGCTTAATTACAAAATATAGCTATTTTAAATATTTTTATTTTTAATTGCAATCCCCCACAATAATACCACCTGGTATTGTAAGTCTGATAATCAAGTCCCCATTTCCTTTTTCCTATTGAAAGAATGTTATATAAGTTTGCTTTTGTACTTTTAAAGGTGATTTATATATTAAATTAATTTCAGGTGTACAACATAGTGATTTAGCAATTGTATACATTTTGAAAGGCTTGCCACGAAAAGTGTATTACAATGTTATGCACTATATTCCTTACGCTGTACTTCTCAGCCCCATGACTTATTTTATAACTGGAAGTTCGTGGCTCTTAATCCCCTTTACCCATTTCACCTGTCTTCCCACTCCTCCCCCTTTGGCGACCACCAGTTTCTTCTCACTGAGTCTGTTTCTCTCTTTGTTGTTGTTGTGCAACAGTTTGTATTTAAAAAGAAAGTTGTTTTTTTTTTTAAATATGCACAGTTCATGGCAGACCAAGACCAACACAGTATTTCATAAAATGACAAAGATTTCACATAATAACTGCAAGAAAGAAATCTGGCAGGCTTTTATATAGACACACCTACAGTTACCTAGAAAAGAAATCTGAACTTCACAGGTTTACTCAGAGTCTGTTTTTTTTTTCCACATTAAGTTTAAATATTAAGGCAGGGAGAAAAACAAGAGGATTACCAGGGACTGGTATATGTTGGTGCTATAAGTGAAGACTGGACCTACTTATATATAATATTTCCTATTACATGGTTTTAGTCATTTAAGTTTCAACTAGTGTCTCACAGATTTCTCCCAGTCATCATTACTGATTTTACTCTCACTGCACTTTTGGCACATCTAGAATGAAGAGTAATGGGGCAGCAATTCAATCTATGCGACGCTACTTTTGCATTGTTTTTTGGTATCTGTTTTCTTCACTTAAACATTCATCATGAGGCCATCTTGAAATACCAGCTAGACAAATTTTGTATTTTTGCTTATTAGGAAAATGAAGTACTATAGGGCAACCTAAACAAATACCATGTATTCCAAGCAATTAAAAAAAAAAATCACACCTGTCATTTTACTACTACATATTTATATATTTGTGCAATAAATACTTATTGGGTAAATAAAGACCATATATTTGGAGACCATTCCATATCATTATATTTCTGACTACCTCATCTTTTAAACAGCTACAGAGTATTCCATTCCAGTATATGGGCACCATAATATATTCAACCAGTTCCTTTTTTTTTTTTTTAATTTTATTTATTTATTTGACAGAGAGACACAGCAAGAGAGGGAACACAAGCAGGGGGAGGGGGAGACAGAGAAGCAGGCTTTCCGTGGAGCAGGGAGCCCGATGTGGGGCTCGATCCCAGGACCCTGGGATCCTGACCTGAGCCTAAGGCAGACGCTTAATGACTGAGCCACCCAGGTGCCCTATTCAACCAGTTCTATATGGATATTAAGGTTACCATATGTTTCTTATTGGACAAACATGTAAATTTCCAGGGAGTAAACGAATGTTAGCTAGCTCATAAAAACAAAACACCACCACTGAAGTCTAATTTATTTATGAAAAGATAGGTTTTCTGCATTCTGAACAGATTTATCTACTCATTTACCTGAGTTTTCCTAACAATGTATACAATTCATGCTATTTCATTATGTAGTTGTTTCTTTAGCCATTTCACTTTGACTAGCAGTATTTCCTCAAAGAGATTTTCTTTCTCTTCCTCCTTTGTGAGATTCTCCTACAAGGTCTGATAATGTATATGGAGACATTTTGTAAAGTATAAAACACCAGTCAGTGTGAGCTATGTTTAGAAAGAGTGTCATGGACATAGCAGATACTCAGAAAGTCTGTCACACAGTTTTACTAATATATTATTTATATTTATTTCATTGATTGTTATTTACAACTCAAAGGAAGGAGACACATTCCACTCATTTTATCATTAGACCATAAAAATCCACATGAATGGCACTGACAACTGCCTTTCCTGAAACTGGAAAGGAAAAAAAAAAAGAATATGCTACCCACCTTTTTCTTTTTCTTTAAGATAAGCTGACACTAAATCATGAAGAAACATGATGAGCTCAGCATCCATAGTTACACAAATGTGGTCAGTGAACTCTGTCACCACACTACATTCTACCTTCGGCTTCAGGCTGGCATCTGCAATGGCAAAGGTCTATAGTAAAAGATTTAATGAGATAAGTCCCATTCTCTTCCTGTTAATAAGGGATTTACATGGGTTCATGTAAATGCATCCATTTGAATGCAACTATAGAGAACTGAGTAGTTTTTATATGTGATTTACAAATGATGACAGTTTACTGAGCACTTTCCAAGTACACGCCATTTATTCCTCAGAAAAACCCTCTGAATGAAATACATTATTATTGTCCCCCATTTTGCTGAGGAGAAAGAGGCACAAATGGATTAAATTATTTGCCATAGGTCAAATAGCTGGGAAGAAAATTTGACTAAGCAAATCAATTTCATTAGACTATATTACTATTACACAAATAACCTGTGAGAAGATAGTAACTGGAAGTTCCTTTAGAATTTTCTTAGTAACTTTAGAAACTATTTTTCCACATACCCTGTAATGAAGGTTCCTGTGGTTCTTGTACATGAATGGATTTAAATTCAAGCTGCATCCTTGGTAATGCAAAGATAGTCTCTGTTTCATGATTGTAACTAGAACCTCCTCTGAATCCACTCAACAAACTAGAATTCTTCACTGTAGTGCTATTTTCAGTGTTATTAGCATCAACATTACGAAGTAGGTTTAGCTCTACATGGACAATAATAAAGACAAGAAGAATCAAATTAAACCAACAGGCATTGATAAGCCTATAGCTTTCATGACACTATCATACACAGAATTTTTATCATTTTATTTTTTTTAAAGATTTTATTTATTTGAGAGAGAGAATGAGAGAGAGAGAAAGAGAGCACAAGAGGGGGGAGCGGGAGAGGGAGAAGCAGACTCCCCGCTGAGCAGGGAGCCTGATGCAGAACTCGATCCCGGGACTCCAGGATCATGACCTGAGCCAAAGGAAGTCAGTTAACCAACTGAGCCACCCAGGCACCCAGAATTTTTATCATTTTAAAAGCTGGAAAATAATGATTCACATTTTTAAAAACAGAGCCATATAAAGCTTTGGTCTTGAGATACCTATATATTTATCTATTTAAATATATTTATATATAGTGATACGTTTACATATACACGTAGTGTTTTACTTAGATAGATAGATAGATAGATAGAGATGTATATCACTATTCTCAAGACTGAAGCTTTATAACATGATTTTGGATAAATCTAATACATTTTATTTCTGTTTCTCAAAGTTTAAAATGAATATTATTTTTAACTAAATTCATGTCTAAATTTAAAGAGTTTCATTAAGCTCAGAGTTCTCTATAGATAGAATACTTTACTCTTATATAGAATTTGCAATTAAATACGTTCCTGACCTTGAAATAAGGTAGAAGTCCTGATTGTCCCCAACATAAGTGCTATGGTTTTCTTATAAAAATTAGCAGTTTTTAGGTACATGGGTAGCAATGCAGTTTGCTAATAGCCCCTCTACGGTATCCCAGCCAAAAAGAACCCCCTCCTCTAAAATCTCTTTTTGGAAGGTAGAATAGTCAGTACAGAATAGCCAATATATGCATAATCTTCATTTACTTCTTTATCCTCCTTTGTTCTCAGAACATTTTTAATAGTCTCTAATCCCTGGTGCAGCCTATTCCATGGTAACTATTTTCAGTGAGGCCCAAGTCATCTTTCCCATTTTGAAAGGTGGTTATTTTTAAGTAAAACATTCAAGTCTTAGCAGGTCTCAATGCAGTCACCTTTCCAATACAGATGACATGACTGGTAAAATCAGTACTATAAACTTGAACAAAAAACAGCCACAAACTAAGAATTTTCCTGGCCACATTATTACAAGACTGGTGATTCTAATCAAATGGAAAAACTCATCAAAAGCACTCTTTTTAAACTTATTTCAGAGGAATAGTATTTAGTTTCATTTTATTCCAACCACCCCAAACCTTAAAGTTTGTGGCATTCTATTACTTAGTTGTGTAGTAACTTTACCAAACTTCTGATGTTTAGCATCACTACAAAGGTATTTTTCTAACTATAATAAACTTCATTTAAACCAACTTTATTTTGAATGTTTTCAGTTACATCTAAAATAATTTTTAGTCTATGAGATGTTACACTACCAGGATGATGAATCAGGTACTAATATTGTTATTTATGAGTAAAATGAAACTAGTTTATTTTTACTTATTTTTAGTTTTTTAAAAGATTTTTTATTTACTTATTTGTCAGGGAGAGAGGGAGAGTGAGAGAGCACAAGCAGGGGGAGCGGCAGGCAGAGGGAGAGGGAGAAGCAGGCTTCCCACTGAGCAGGGAGCCCGATGAGGGACTCGATCCCAGGACCCTGGCATCATGACCTGAGCCGAAGGCAGATGCCCAACTGACTGAGCCACCCAGGTGTCCCAATGAAACTAGTTTAATTAAAGAAATGAAAATTCTCCCTCCACTCAAATTCTAAACACAGGCAACGGAGCCTCAAATACAGGAAAATCTCTCCAAAGAAATAAACTTTTAACCTTCATTCCTTGTGGCTGTAACATAGTTGAACCATTCTTTTACACTTGCTACTCCATGGGGTGGGTTTTCATGGCGACGCCTTGTTATTTTGGTTATTGTTGCCATAGGACTTTCCAAAGCACCACATGGTTTGGTAACCATGGTATTATGGCCCAGATGAAAATCCAACGTTTGTACAATATATGTAGAATGATCACTAGAGCCTAGAAGGAAAAAAAAGTTTCTTGATGTTAACAAACTATATTTAGATGCAAGAAGATAGTTGTGGCTCTAAAGCAACAGATTTAGTTAACTCATACATAGATAAGGGTGTAAAAAAGTGAGAAGTCGGAAAAAAAATCATAAATAATTTTTCCTTCTTTTAGTTATAACTGGATTTATCCCCGGTGATGAGCATCATCATTTTTTCAAGATAATGAGCATCAACCATTTTTTCCCTTCATCGTAAGAAATCACAACTTAGGAAATTATAACTAAAAGGAAGGAGGTTTATCACTGTAAACCGAGGTAAAAGCACGGCCTTACTGATAAAAGTTTTATAATTTAGTCCTGACTATTTCCTTAAACTACCACCATGTGTCTTTTATGTTTTTATAATATTTAGAATAACTATTATTATGACTGGCCAGCCACAGCAGCAGAAACTTTAATTGCCTAAGAAACAGAGTAAGACGGCGGCAAGTTCAGAAGTAAGTCCTTTAACATGCTCCAGACTTTATAGATATTGACTCACTGGCAATGAACTCCTTGACATGTCAAGTACATGAGAACAAATGGAGTTGGACTTCAGAAATATAACAAAAACATATAAAAGATATGAGAAAGGAAAATTACTCTGTCATTTATAATCATATCAGAAGATAAGAAAAGGTAAAAGTTACAAATGTGTCAGTTTACCATCTTCCCAGATTTTCTGAGCTTCGGTCCAAAAAGCAATATTTGGTTCTTCTAAGTGAAAAAGGGCCCAGGATTTTGAACGGAAATTTGGACCATGAAAACAAGCTAGTGTCATATGATTTCCATGCAAGCTCATTGATCCTCCGAACTGCATTCCATTTTCTGGTAATGGAATCTGAAATAAGGATATGTGGCATCCTGATACCACCTTCAATACTCCAGGCCAATGTCGATGATGAGCTGCATCGAGCACTGCAAGAAAATCAAAACCACTTATCCTCAAGTGCTTCACAAACACCCTGAATGGCAGGTAGGAAGGCAGCAGGCGGCTATTTTCTATAGCTGAAGTGATGCAGATAAGGGATGAAAACAATCCAATACCTGGTTAACATTAAGCAGAAGCTAATAAAAATATAGTCTGGGAAAAGATGCTGCGTAAGGATGGATAGAATTAATGAAAGTAGTAACTTGCTAATGATAATTATAACTAACACTTCTGTAAATTCATGATTTACAAAGTGCTTGTATAAACTTTTATACAATTCTCACAATAACTCTGTAAATTAGGGACTTGATCTAGATTCCTCTCAAGTGAAGCAGAAGAAGGGTTAAGTGAATCAGTGACAAGAAGATCTAGAAATCATATGGACGCTATACCCTTGTTACTCAAAAGTGAGGTCAGAGGGGCGCCTGGGTAGCTCAGTTGGTTAAGCGACTGCCTTCGGCTCGGGTCATGATCCTGGAGTCCCGGGATCGAGCCCCACATCAGGCTCCCTGCTCCGCGGGGAGTCTGCTCCTCCCTCTGACCCTCTTCCCTCTGGTGCTCTCTGTCTCTCATTCTCTCTCTCAAATAAATAAAATCTTAAAAAAAAAAAAAAAGTGAGGTCAGAGGACCAACAGCAGCAGCAACACCTGGCAGCTTGTTAGATAGAAATAGAAACTCTTAAGTCCACCCTATACCTACTGTATCAGAATCTGCATTTTAATGAGATCTGAAAGTGTTTCAGATACACATTAAAGTTTGAGAAGCACTAATCAGATGTACAATTCGTATTTATATTTCTCACTTATCCCAATAATGTCCTTTTTGACTGTTTTCCACAACTCTCATTCCAGATCCAAACAAGGATCACACATTATATTTAGTTATCATGTCTCTTTAGTTTCCTTTAATCTAAAACAGTTCCCTAAGCCTGGTTTGTTTTTCAAGATAAGGATTTCTTTTAAGAATCTAGGCTAGGAGTTTTGGGGAACATCTCTCTAATTTGTATATACCTGACACCAATTCTAGTTTAAAGGAAATATAAGGACTAGAGGAACAAGACAAATGAAACCACAAGCAAACAACTGAAAAAAAAAATTTAGAAGGTCGGAGATTCTGCAGGACAACAGGCTAATAAGTCTCTTCAATGAGTCAGATCATTAAAAATAATAAGGACTATGCTGAATTAAAAGAGAGTAAAGGAACATAACCAGATTTAACTTGTGATCTTGAATCTGATATATTGGTTTGGACAAACCAGTTGTAAGAATAATTTTAAGGTCAATTATAGAATGTGGTCAGAAGGCCAGAGGAGATAAACATTTAGCAAAATGGAAAACTGGATACTGTTCACTAGAAAAGGTTACAAAACAGTATGAACAATAATATTTTGGTAAAAAGTACATGTGTTATATAGGTTTATAGAAAATGATCTGGAAGTACATACTCTAAATTGTTCAGAGTAATGATTTCTGGGTGGAACGTGATGTTTCTATTTTTGCTTATATGTACTTTCTAGGCTTTTCCAATGCATATGTACTGATTATAAAGAGTTATTTAAAATGATCCTGATTCTGACTACTTTTCACCACTTTTACCTCTCTCTGGGTAAAGCTGCCATCACTTGCTGCCTGGACTCTTCCGATGGCCTCCTTACTATAACTATGTTTGCAACAACAGTACTTCCACTCTTCACCACCTGTAGTCTATTCTTCATACAGCAGCCAGAATGATTCTTCAAAAAGGAGTATTTTAAGAAAAAGTAAATCAAATATGAAATCTGTTCAGAACTCTCCAATAGCTAGCCATCATATTCAAAATCTTGTCTTTGGCCATTCATGTCTGACACTTTCCTGTTTGTTCACTCTGTTTCACCAAAGTAGCCACCTTAATAATCCTCAAACGGTTTCTTCTACCATAGGAGCTTTGCACTTGTCAATAGGTCCCTATGTCCAGAACTCTCTTCCCCAGTGGAGATCTTTCTAGCCTAGAACTTTAAAAGGCTTCTGTGACCAACCTTTCTAAACTAGCTGGCCTCACACACTATTCTTTATCTCCTTCTCCTGCTTTTTCAGTATGTCTTTCTATCTGAAATTATCTGACATATTTAGTTAGTAAGTTAGTAAATTAATTATGGTCTATCTCTCCCATTAGAACAAAGCTTTAGGGCGCCTGGGTGGCTCAGTCGTTAAGCGTCTGCCTTCGGCTCAGGTCATGATCCCAGGGTCCTGGGATCGAGTCCCACGTTGGGCTCCCCGCTCAGCAGGAAGCCTGCGCCTCCCTCTCCCACGCTCCCTGTTTGTATTCCCTCTCTCGCTGTCTCTCTCTGTTAAAAAATAAAAAAATCTTAAAAAAAAAAAAAAAGAACAAAGCTTTATGTAGGCAGGAACTTTGTCTACTAGGAGATCTCCTATGCCTAAAACAGTGCTTAAGAATATAGTTGACTTTGCTGATTGAATTACTGAGTGAAAATAATAATCTGCCTAATATGACACAGTTAATAAATCCAAAAAACTCCAAAAAAAATCCAAAGCTCAGACATTCTGATTCCACAGCCCATGCTCTAAACCAGAACATGGTATTGTCATAATTATTATTCAAGAGCATGGACTGGGTGTTGGTTATAGATGAGTTGTGGCAGGAGGAGGAGGTAATACATGATGACTTCCCAAATGATGGCCTTTAATTCTATTGGTGGGTAGGAAATCAGGTACTTTGCTGAGTGAATAGAATAAAGAGCATATGGATCACTTTGTAATGTATGGTACATAGATATTATTTAAATTAAGATTGTAACACAACATTTAGTGAAAGATAAAGCATACATAAAGGCTTAGTTCTGATTCTTACATTGTTCTTGTGAACTTCTCTCTAGGTTATTAGTCATTGTCTTAGGTGGAAGATATGGAACAGGTCCCCAGGTAGAAAGAGCTCGTTTGCTGGTGTCAAATTGTTGTGTGAAAAATTCCTGGAGCTTCATTCCTATTTTTATCAGGTCTGGTGTAGTTGATCTTGATATCATTACTTGGAAAATATCCCACTTCAAATCTCCATGGACAAATATTTCACTAAAGCATAAAACAGAGTTATCATATATCTTACAGAAGATAGCTTAAAAAAAAAAAAGAAAATTCCCTTCTCCACACAGGTTTTTCATTCATATTAGTTGCATAATATAAAATCATTTTGCAAAAAAAATGAATCATTTGTGTTTTCTCACTGGATGAGAGAAAGCATACTAAGAGCAGTCATACAAAGTGTTCAGAAAGTAACATTTCACTAAATACCTTTTATCAGTCATGCTTGAATCCAGTGTGTTATACAGATTTACTTTCCATTCATCCTGAAGCTTGAGATCAGCATTACTGAAGATACCCATGAGGATACTTGAGCCCATGTAATCAACACGAGCTTCAGTAGAACCCATAGTAATCTGAATTTTGTGACTAGGTTGCTGATTTGGATGTTCAGAAATATGAGCTAAAATAGAAATGATAATTACCTTTCATAGAAATACCTAACGGGGAAAACTTATCAATTTTCAAAAATTTGTTTTCAGTTGTAAAATTTCAACATACCAACCATCTCCAAAGCATTGACATCTATGGTCCCTCCAACTACTCCTCCTTTAGAATCCAACTGTGATCTTCCCAGACCTACAGACATGCTTATCTCTCGATCTCGATTACTTCCTACCGACAGACGGCCCTGGCTCTTCAAACCACTAGTTGTCCAACTGGAGAAAAGAAAAAGGGTTGTTAATTAGACATAACCGCTTTCAATGTCATGAATTAAAACAGGAGTTAGAGGATTTTAAAAAGTTTGACAAAACAATACATTTCTTATAAAAACTGTGGTAAATGTTTGAATATTGATAATAAAGCTTTCTTCTTAGCAAATTACACTGTTTTCCTTATAATTTTCTCTTTTTAGAGGACATATTCCATGTTGTTTTATATTACAATACCTTTAGGATAAAACCATTTTCAAGATAAAGCAATTTATAGCTTTTTTCTACTGTCTCAAACACTTCAGTATTAAAAAGGTTTTAAATTGCTTTATTATAAAATAAGAAAAATTACAATGAATGATTAATTTTCCTTGTATCTGAATATCTTACGTTGTATTTCCCATTACATTACTCATATTCATTTGAACGTTTAATTGTTTCAAGTTGATGGCAAACACGACCAATGTTTCCCATGGGGTCCCTTGTTGGCTTGCTGCTTTGTTCGATTTGTTAAAAGGAGTTGATGTTTTTGAAAGTGAATCTAAAAACAGAAAAATCAAATGCATATTCACTCACATAGCTCAATTAAAAAGTTATCATTCTTACGACTATAGCCCCAGAAGTAAAAATATGGTATTCTTGATTAAAACCTAACATCTAATAGCTGTCATATTGCTTCTAAAGTACTAGCTACCATTTACTGAATGTTCAGTTAAGGACTAGCAGTCCTCTTGAAAGCTCATAAAGTTCCGTATGATCTCCATTTTACATGAGGAAATTCTGGTGTGTGTGGGATACAGCAGCACAGATCGTCACCCTGAGATTTTCTTAACAAAGGAGAAAATCATAAGTTGCGGCTGCCAAATAGAGGACTTGAAGGCAGGGACCGTTCTGAAATGCAGACGCCTGCTGAGGCGCCCATCTCCTGGGTTCCTGTGGGCTCAGCGTGTATCTTGAATCCTGCATTTACTCATTATACTTTAAGCTTGTGACATGAACTATATCATTTTTATATGTTCAGATACAAGTAGAGTGCTGAGCACATAAAAGAGTTCAAAAAACACTGGCTGAATAAAGGAATGACTGAATGGATGAATACCAAAGATTGATTTTTTCATAAATGAGTCTGACACTCAGGAAAAAAAAATTAACTTTTTCAAAATCAAACATTTTTTCCAACATCACAGGTTTGTTTTACTTCTAAAAATAACTACCACATGGAACAAACTAATAATATGCTCATTTCTCTCTTCTTTTCCCTTTTCAAAGCTACTAGCCATCCAGCTATCTCTTCTTCTGGCAAATACTTTGAAGTGTCTGTTGTTTGGTTTTGGGTATTCCCACCCCTCCATCTTCCATAAAAATCTTCAAGAGTATATTTTCCTACAGTTGAGGCAGAAATCTGAGAGTAACTAAGATTTTTATCTTGGGGGCATTGGAGGGATAATGATAACAAAGAGAGCAGTGTTACCTCTTCGGGGAACTGAAGAATCAGACACACTCCTTGATCTTATGGAAGCTGGGGATTTTAGGCTCTGTGCTGCTGTCCCTGGTGACATGGTGCTGTTTGTCATATGCTCATTGAATACATTAGGTGACTGAGGCATGTGGGTGAAAGAGGCTGACTGACTAGGCTGCTCCCAGGTCCTGCAGTAAGCTTTTCTTGACGATTCAGGAGAAAGATGCTGGCTTACCCCTTCAATGGAATCAGGTGTCCCTGGGCCAGATGCTGTTAGAAAAGTAGAAACAAAATTAACAGAATCAAAATTAATCAGGGTACAATCTCCACATTATAAAATAATAAATTTCACCACTCTACCTTTTCTAATCATAGATTCCTTCTAGTTCTCTATTTGAGAACTGTACAGCAATTTATGGTTTGCAAAGTACATTCCAGCATGTTATTTTATTTAATTCTCATGATAATTCATGAGAGGGGCAATACAGGTACTCTTTTTCCATTTTACAAATAAGGGAATAGATGGGCGCCTAGGTGGCTCAGTTGGTTAAGCATCTGACTCTTGAAATCAGCTCAGGTCATGATGTTAGGGTCCTGAGAGCTAGCCCTGCACTGGGCTCTGCGTTGGGTGGGGAGCCTGCTTGGGATTTTCTCTCTTCCTCTCCCTCTGCCCCTCCCGCCCCCCCGCCAGGTCGTGCAAGTGTGCACACTCTCTCTCTCTCAAAAGAAAAATAAAAAAAATAAGGGATAGACTCAAACTTGGATTTCTAATATTTTCTACCGTATCATGTTAACTCTACCTTTCACTTACACAGTATACTACTAAAACATTCTCTAAGTCCAAGAGAAAAAATGCAGGCAATGTGATAGCATATCCCCGACATTTTCTGTTTTCCATGCTTAATTAATCATGATTAACTTGGATGTCTTACCAAGTAAAACAAAGTTTGGGGTATCAATCATTGATTCCTGTTACTACTGTAACCAAAATTAAAAGTAACATAAGTATAATAACAATTACATAACAAGCTTACTTGGCAAATTTATAGTTTGGTCTCCAAGGAATAGGCGTCTTGCAATACTTCTCCTATACCAGGCTCTTGGAAATGCCAGAATTTCACTGAGTCGACGCATATCATATTTAAAGGAGGCAGACCCTATATCACATACAGCTGATACATAAATAAATAAAATCTGTTAGAACAGATTTCCAAAACCTTTAATATTGTCACATGGTAGGTATAACACATGACACAACTAAATTATAATAATGTTATAATTAATGAAATATCAAAATAAGTTACAAGGTATGATTAGTAAGTGATAATATTTGTTCCTTCCACAAATGATAAAAATAGCACATTTTTGGGCACCTGGGTGGCTAGGTTGCTTGAGCGACTGCCTTCAGCTTAGGTCATGATCCTGGAGTCCTGGGATCAAGTTCCGCATCAGGCTCCCAGCTCAGCAGGGAGTCTGCCTCTCCTTCTGACCCTCCCCCCATCGTGCTTTCTCTCATTCTGTCTCTTTCAAATAAATAAATAAAAATCTTTTAAAAAATAGCACATTCATACACTATTCCCATTGCCTTTTCTGAGGTGAGGGCAACTTGGAATTCTGTTTTCACTTTATCATGAAATTCTGAGGGGTTCTGAAGATCAGACTTATTGACAATTTTCAACTTTAATATAAGGCTCTTCTCAAATATGGAAACTGAATAATTGGGATGGGCAGGGACACAAGCTTCCTCAAAAGTAGTTGCAAACCAAATAGTGTGTGGCAAGAACTACTATTTTCCTTTTAGACAAAGAGCAGGGACTTGTCAGTCTGAAGGCATTGTGATGACCGCTTCTTGGGGTTCTGCTCTGAGCACTCTTCCGCCCCTGCTTTACATGCTCTATCGTTCTTCCACCAGAGCTTCCGTAAGGAGTTATACACCAGTGTCCCCCAAATCTAGTATTTCTGTTTCAGCCTGAGTCCATATCCACATAGCCCATCAGCCAATTATCTACAGACTCTCCCACCTAAACGTCCTATTAAGCACTTTCTTATTTTTGATCTAAGTTAATGACAGTCCACTATCCCTTCAGTCACCTAAGCTAAAAACTTGAGGCATCCTTGTCTCCTCTACTCCTTACACAACTTGTCCTCAAGCTTGTGGGTTCTATTTCTCTTAAAACCATTCCCTCTTCTTTTTTATTGTCACAGTTTAGGGCTTCACTCCCTATTGTTTGGTCTATTTCAACATTCTTTTCAAACATCTCTCCCATTTTTCATGCTGCCATCAACTCTTTCTAAAACACCAATCTGAAGCATCATCCCATTTCTTTTTTTTTTTTAAATACAAACTGTTATTTTATAATACCTATGCAAATTTATTGTGTGTGGTAAGAACACTCAAGATGAGATCTACTATCTTCACAGATTGTTTTTTTGTCTTCACAGATTTTTAAAGTGTACAATATAGTACTGTCATCTTTAAGCACAGTGTTGTTATCCCATTTCTTAAAAACCTCTAATGGCTTTTCACTGCCCAAAGGATCAGAACCCTGTTCTTTAGCCTGGCATATGAGTCTCCCATCAATCTAGTCCTGGTGTGTTTTACCAGCTTTCCCTCTAACCAACTCCTCTCTCCCTTGGGACATTTAACTATACAACCAGTTAAATGTTCAGTTATACCTATGCTTTGCTTCAGTGAACCAAAGTATGATCCAAAAGCATACTTTCTGATGCTCTCTGTACCATTAAAGACCATGTTGCTATAGCTAAGAATTTTTTTTTACATAATTTTGAAGATCTGGCCCCAATATCATTTCTTTTGTGAAGCCTTCTTTGATCTCTTGAATAAAACAATCTGTTTCTTCCTCTTTATGTAAACCTCCATTACAGCATTAATCACACTGCACTGTCATTTATTTGTTTACTTGTGAGACCTTGCCTTATTCATGCCGGCACCCGGAATCATCTGCCAGTGTCGGCACAAGTTCACTGTAAAATATAGGCTCAGGGTATGTTTGTTGAATACTAGCTTTAAGTGTACCTACTGTATTTGTGCAATTAATAACTTTAAAAATTTTCACTCCCATAGTACTCTGAATTCTTAAAAATGTTCCACATGCACTTAATTTTAAACAGTCAAGTCGCAACATAAGGAAAATGAGCAAGTGATTTGCCCATAGGTATATGGCTAGTTACAAAGCTAGCAATACACATGTACACAGCTTAAGATCTAATGACACTAAGTAAAAAATTTTTAACCATCATCCCTCATTAGTGTTTTAAGAATTTACAATCAGAAAACTAAGCTAATGAAAAATCAGAAATTTTACCAATTCATGGTAGAGAAGTGAAGAAAAGCAGCAGTTTTCAGTGACTTAACTAGGTATATTTTGGACTTTGGGTGACATTTCTCCGCATTTACCTAGAAATCATATTCCTAACATGCTTACTTGGACTGAGAGAGTACCTTGGTCTAGACTGTTACTCCTCTCACTTAAATCATTCATCACTAAAAGCTTAATATTACTATTAAAACACTGTTAAAAAGAAGGCCCTTACTTAATTCTGAAAAACAGCATTTTAATTAAGAAACTATACAATTAAGTACCAGATATATTGATTAGTGTAGTGTCCATTTTGCTTGCAGATTTGCTTACAGACTGACTTTCAAAAAATGAGGCACCTCCTGAGCGCCTTATCCGAGACAAACTCACTTTTACAAATTCAAGGTTTATACTGAGTGAGTCTTTTCGACCAGTGACTGAAGTGGGTTCTTCATCCACATTCCCTTTAAAACAAAAACAGAAACACAACACACACACACACACACACACACATATTTATATATGTATGCATATATATACATGTATGCAACTATCTGGTTACATGAAATTATCTACTACACTTGAATATGCCATCAATTAAAATCATTTTAAGTGAGGTTAAAAATTTAAGAATGATCTAATGAGCATTAGCATGCTTAACAACAGTTTAATAGTTTCAAGCCCATAAACAATAGTGATGATTTTCACAATACTTCTCCAACAAAAACTAGCACTGACATGGAATATATGTTTTTGTTACTTCTCTAAGCAAATCAAGAGACATTCACTAATATCAACATCTCAGACATTTTTAGTGGTAAATCTGCACTTTAAAATGATAGTGAAATTTAAGTTGGTTAAATAATGACAAGTAGAAGCAACAGCAGCAGAAGGTGGTTTCATTTTAAATTGAGAAATGTGATGCACACACTTTAAAAACTGACTATTTGCAGAATACAATTTCTTATACAAATAATGATTTGGTAAAACATTTAAACTTTTCAGTAACATAAATATCCTTTTTAAATCCAAAGATTATTGTGCTACATGTCATTTATACTGTTTTAAAATTCTTATATAATTAATTCACCTGAATTATTTATTTCATATTTCTACTTATGTAGAGACAGGATATTGTCAAGAAGAAAAATAAAGTTTCTGATTTTATTTTATATCCATTATCTTTTTAATTTTTAAAAATTTTTAAAAATTTTCTTTTATATCCATTATTAAAGGTACTGTGATTTCTGAAAAGATCAAAGCTTGAAAAGGTGCTATAAATTAAAAAAGATGGAAATACTCTTAAGTATACCTAGTCCTCCTGATCCAGGTGTGAGCCCAGAAACAGCAGTTTTTTGTTTCCCTGCTCCGTACGGATGAAATACATAAAGGGAAAAGTCAGACATGCATGCAGTGAAGCTCAACCCAGACGAACTGCTGCTAGAACTGGTCAGATCTGACTGACTACTACTATGTCGACTTCTGCCAAGAGGGCTGCCTAGGCCGGATGAACCTATAGTGAAAACAAGAAATCCAAAATATTTATAAGTCACAGAAGATTGTAAAAGCCTGTCACTTAATACATTCTTAAGAACCAAACAGGACTTGAAATTAAAATGGAAATACTCAAACATTAATTGATCAATAGATTTAAAATCTTGATATCAAAATAAAGACTTAGATGTACTTTTCAATTAATTTATTCTATTAACTGGGGTTGAATACTCTGTTCATCTTTGAAACAATTATTTAAACATTTGATTGGCCAACTCCATGGTTTCCTGTTTCTTTTCTCCTTTGCCCCACTGGAAGCAGGCAGTGGAAGAGGCACAAAATAGCTGGGACTTAAGTGAAGGGGGAGAACTATAAAAAATCCAAATCATATAACTGGAGTCCACATTTCAGTAGCCAGCAGTGGAAATAGAGCAAGGTACACAAATGCAGAAAGTTAAAGATCTCTTTCTCTGAGAAGAAGCAAGTGTCCTCATTGGCAACACTTACCATAGGTGGTGTATAGGCTAATTCAAAATATGCTTTAAATGTAAAAAATACGAGTAAAGCATCTTAAGAGAACATTATATGATTTTGCTAATAATTCCAAAATATGTATTTCCAAAATATACAGACCTCCTTTGGATTCATATTGCAACTGGTTACTTGACATCTTACTAGAATGTGTCACAAACATTTAAAGCTCACCATGTCCAAAACTGAACTCTTGATCTTTACCCCCAATCTATTTTTCTTCCAGGGTCTCCCAACTCCAGTAAGTGGCATTTCCAAGCAAATAGCTCAGCCAGAAACCTAAGAGTTATTTGTCATTCTTCCCACTTCTCTCTATCATGCAATTTATCACCATTATCATTTCAATGTCTAAGAACATATATTAAGCCTGTCCATTTCCCTGTATCTCACTATTGTTACTCTAGTCTAAGCAATTATCAGCTCTGGACTGCTGAAATGGCCAACTGTTCTCCAATCAACTATCAGACTACAGCTGGACTGGTGGTGTTCTGAAGGTGTAAATCAAAATCTCACATCTACTCTCCTGTTTAACCTTCAGTGGCTTCCCCACATCATCTGGCTCTTTCCCATCTCTCTGAATCTTTTTCATACCAATCTACCTTTTGTTTGTCACACGCCACTTACACTAGTTGTTTGTGTTTTTTAAACTTGCCAAATTCTTTCTTGCTTCATGGATTTTGTGTTCTCTACCTAAAGTGTTCTCCATCCCAACTCTCTGCTTGGCTAACTCATACTCACTTCACATTTCCACTTAAAATACACTTGTTTGCTTATCTTCTGTTTCTCCAAATTCAACTTAGGTTCCACATTAGCAGGGACGTATCTGCTAGCTAGGTTCACTACCATCCATTCAACCTCTGGCATGGACCCGGGGCCCCAGTAAAGTTCAATAAAGATCCTTTGAAAGAATGGATACTGTTGTGGCGTCTGGGTGGCTCAGTCAGTTAAGTGTCTGCTTTCAGCTCAGGTCATGATTTCAGGGTCCTAGGATCAAGCCCCAGGTCTGGCTCCCTGCTGAGCAGGGAGCTTGCTTCTTCCTCTCCCTCTGCCTTTGTCCCTCCCCTTGCTTGTGCTGTCTCTCAGATAAATAAAAAATCTTAAAAAAAAAAAAGAATGGATATTATCATAACCTATACTTCTTATACATTTATTCTTATCATTATTCTTCCTGCATGTTTTATGATGATAAAATGAGGGATGCTATTTCATTTTTTTAAATTTTTTATAGAATCAAATTGTGGACATAAAAAATAGTCGCTCATTTCATATTCCTTTCACTACATATACTTAGTATGGCACATATATACACTACTACAATAATTTAAGTGTCATTAATTTGTGGCATTTTGTCATTAAGAAAAAAAGTGAATATCCCAACAGAGAAATGGACATGGGCATATTTATCTCTCTCCCGCATTAGCCAATAAAATAATAACACATAAAATAAAACCCCATTTTAGCCCATCACATTAACAATGATTAAAAATAAATTTAAAGTGTAATGTTGGGAAGAATACAGTGAACCTGGTGTCTACACACACTGTGGTGAGGATGCAGAAATCTTATATTTACTAGGCTAGTAAAACATATCAAACACTTTAAAAATGTTCACTCTCTCTGACTCAGGAATTCCACTTTTAAGAATTTATCTGAAGGATGTTGATTTATATATAAAGATATTCATCTCAATATTATTCACAAATAGAAAACAAAAGGCCCAGGGAGTCTCAAATGTATGACTGAAATGATGGAATATCGTGCAATCATTAAAATTATTTTAGAAAGATGAATATTTAATAATTTGAGAAAAACTTATATTTTAAGTTTTTAAAAGATATATAGCAGAAGAGATCATATTTAAATTTTGCCTGGGAAGAAGACTGTATCTACAAAAATGCACGAGAGTAGGTAGGAAGTGATAATACTGGTTATTAAGATAAAAGGATATTATTTTCATTTTTAGTACTCTTGTTTTCTGTATTTTCTATAATGAACAGTGAGTTAATTTTATAATCAAAAAGTAGGTTTTCAAAAACTGACACTACCACTCCAATATTTTATAGACTACAACACAATTCCAACAGCAATATTTTGGAGCTAAGTGTGACAGTGGGCAACCACATTAGCAAAAACTTATTTCTAAAATATCAACTTTTTTTTTTAAGATTATTTATTTATTTATTTATTTGACAGAGAGAGACACAGCGAGAGAGGGAACACAAGCAGGGGGAGTGGGAGAGGGAGAAGCGGGCTTCCCGCTAAGCAGGGAGCCGGATGTGGGGCTCAATCCCAGGACTCTGGAATCATGACCTGAGCGGAAGGCAGATGCTTAACGATTGAGCCACCCAGATGCCCCTAAAATATCAACTTTTTGTTTTCCTCTTTTATGAGGAAAACTTTCAAAGATTCACACAGCAAAGCAATGTTTTGTTTTAGCCATTTTTTCAGTGTCTTCTGACATTGCAAAATATCCCCTTGGGGCTTTTTTTAACCCCTGGTTATGAACCATTGTTTTAATGATAGTTCTCTTATTAATAATTATCAATTTTCACTCATTCTAGTCTCTTTAAGAATGGTCAATAAAATCTTTATCAATTGCAAATGCAATCTTTCTATGATTTTTAGGGCAGAAATGACACTGAGCTTTAATACAGTGAACAGTGACGTTCTCACCAGGAAATCATCAGTTGTGTGTTAAAAACAAAACCTTTCATGAAATGGACATTTGAGTTATAAATATATACATACATTATTACAATTACACACACACACACCCACCCACTACCCTTCATACAATTTTAATTCACTGTGATAAATTCTTGCATGATAACTGTCTTATTTTCCATTTGCAACACTGATTACTCTTAAATGTAAAAATAGAGCATAAAACATTCAAAAGTACTTAAACATATAATACATTTACTTCATAGTGCTTGTAGTGTGTACATTCAAGCCAACCAAAAAATGCTATCCAACTGCCATTCACTTGTACCAAAATATATTCAAAAGACTTTGATCTCAATATATTTTTCTATAAATACTCTAATTCTCAAATATTCTCCTTTTCCAAATTTATTTTTTAGTAATATATACTAATCACTATTAAAATATTTATTTGAAAATAGTAGTTGGCTTTCTACCAGGGGAATAAAAGAGTGTTTCTATACCCGGTATTCCAGTTTTGCTTGTAGAGGTCTTTGTTCCACTCTGAGTAGCATTACCTCCAGGGGATAAAGTCTCTGTGGGATACGTGGTCCCTAAAGTCTCCAGTTCACCTCGGTTGGAAGAAAACACCAAGTCCAGGGATGGTAGCTTTAGCATGCATTCTACTCTTGATACTGGTAAACAGCTAAACTTGATCTGTGAGGGCTAAAAAGTGCAGAAAGCCAAAAAGAAAAAAAAAGCTTCTAGGTACTAGTTAAAAAATTTCACACTGGATTCCAAAAAACACAATTTCCACTTCAGTCCACATATAGCAAATTATTTGACACTTTAAAGGCTTTTGTGTTTAATGTCTTAGCTTTTTCAAACACATACATGATATATTAACCAAAATTTATTAACAAAATGGCATTTTAGGAATCACCTCTGAGTGATACATATTCAGATATTTAGATGATTCAGAACATTAAAGATATCTATGTTCATATTATACTTGTTCATAATCAAATTTTTAAAGGAAATAATTCCTCTTATACTAAAATTTTTAAAAAGCTATTTAATAAGTTTTATAAACTCTCAAGGCCTCCCCCATTACATGTTTTTATCGTATCTTCAAAAGGCTAATGTAAAACTCCATCCTGAAGCCCTTTTGGCCAAACCACTGTTGTAGAAAACAGTTTGAACAGATGACCATTAGTGTTTCTTTTATTCTTGAGATTATCAGATTTACCTGAAGGTAAACTGAAACCTGAAGTTTGGTTACAAGTAGTTTTCAAATCCTCTTTAATAAATGGACTCAATCAGATGCTAATACAGTCCTAAAGGGCGACTGTTAAGACTGTATTTTAAAATAAAATATTAAATAAAAATTCCATAACTTAGCAAAAATCTAACAATGGTACTACTGTGTGACTTACATCTCAATGACACTTTATATTTGCCCCAAATGGACCATAATGGCAAGAAATACAGGTGCCATAAAAAAAAAAAGGCATAAAATTCTAAAAAAAAAAAAAAGGGTTTTAACTTACACATTTTTATTTTTGCCAAAAAAGTATAAGATCTAAATTTTGAAAGCCCAAAGATCTATGAACCTCCTCAGCAGAAAAGTAAATACACACACAAAATTGTACATATACTTCCCAGAGGTCCAGGTGATCTCTAAGCCATTATAGGTTTACTAAAGGTCCATGAATCCAAGGTTAAACTAACTTTAAGGGAAATAATGTTGGAAATATTCAAATAAACTTAAGAAAAACATTTTTCTTTAGGGGCGCCTGGGTGGCTCAGTCGTTAAGCGTCTGCCTTCGGCTCAGGTCATGATCCCAGGGTCCTGGGATCGAGCCCTGCAACGGGCTCCCTGCTCAGTGGGAAGCCTGCTTCTCCCTCTCCCACGCTCCCTGCTTGTGTTCCCTCTCTCGCTGTGTCTCTCTCTGTCAAATAAATAAATAAAATCTTTAAAAAAAAAAAGAAAAACATTTTTCTTTAAAACAAAAAGGAATAAATGAAGTATATCACCTGAACTCGTACATAAACCACAACATCTACAGGGAAGGAAGAGTAAGCAGATGTCGAAGATGATACTAATGATGTTGTTGATTCTTCCATAGGATCTGGTATTTCAAAATGTCCCATATCTTCATCTTGTGAACTGACAGCTGTTAAAATATTTAGTTTTATTATTAGGGCAAGGGCAAACTATTTTTTTTTAAAGATTTATTTATTTGAGAGAAAGAGAAAGAGAGGATGCGCGTGTGCAAGCACGTGGGGGGGAGAGGGGGAGGGGAGAGAGAGAATCTTAAGCAGACTCCATGATCAGTGTGAAGCCTGACGGGGGACTCCATCTCATGACCCTGAGATCATGATCTGAGCCAAAATCAATACTTGGATGCTTAACTGACTACACCAGCCAGACACTCTGGGAAAACTATTTATCAAAAGATCCTTTCATGGGGCACATGGGTGGCTCAGTTGGTTATGCATCTGCTTTCGTCACAAGTCATGGTCCCAGGGGCCTGGGATCGAGCCCCGCATCAGGCTTCCAGCTCAGAGGGGAGCCTGCTTCTCCTCCCTCTCCCTCTGCTCTTCCCTGCTTGTGCTCTCTGGCTCTCTCTCTTTCTGTCAAATAAATAAATAAAATCTTTAAAAAAAAATATCCTTTCTCTTACGCTAGTACTGAGATCAGGGATATGAACACACAGAAATGTGCTTCTGTAGCCCATCATTCTATACATCTTTCCCTATTCAAACCTCCTGCTCATTTCTCCAAATTCTAATTCCCCTCCTACTATAACAAACACTGTACAAAGAAAATTAAGCCTTTGCCCTCAAGAAGTTTCCAGTCCAAGAGGGAAGCTAATGTAGGAATTAAGGATGTTAATTTTATCATTAACTAGCTGTGGCCGTGGGAAAATCATATAACCTCACCAAGACTTAATTTATTTGTAAATGAGGACTAGATGATTTCTCAAGTTCTTTTCTTGATTTGTAAATGAGGACTAGATGATTTCTCAAGTACTCTCTATAATTCTTGACTACCGAATATATTATATAATAATATATAACAGCATTAAAAATCCTTCTAAGTAATAGAATTTTTAAAGTATTTGTGATGCAGGGGCACCTGGGTGGCTCAGTTGGTTGAACATCTGACTCTTGATTTAGGATCAGGTCATGATCTCAGGATTCTGAGATCAAGGTCCACGTTGGGTTCTGGAGTGGGCATGGAGCCTGCTTAAGGTTCTCTCTCCCGCTCCCTCTGTAACACCCCCCCACACACACCGACTCTGTGCTTGTGCTCTTAAAAAAAAAAAATTGTGATGGGGAAGTAAGTATATAAGGAGGATACTTACTTGTATAATTCCTTTCAATTGGTGTAATTGGGATAGTTTCCAGAGCTTTTTCCAGAAAATCTAATAGGCAGGGACTAATAACCATTTCTTCTGGCAATGACTGAAGTGCTACCCAAGCATATAATTTGGCTGTTTTTACTCCTCCACTTCCTTTTCCTTTGGCTAGAACATTTACAAATGTGAGGTCAATTTAATAGTTCCCATACAACATATAATAATTTTGTGAGAAATCAGAACTATATATGACAGTTTAATCAGGTGAAGCACCTTATACCTAAACCATACAAGAATGCAATAAAAATAGCAGATTGATAGAAATGACATATTAATATTAGAATATAAAGATTAATGATGCACATAAAACAATAGTTATTTCTACTTGCTCTAGGTCACAAATGTTGCTTCAATTTTTCAAGTTTATAATTTGCTTAGTGTCTCATTTAGCATTATTTTGTCCACTTAAGAAGACATAGAGAAATCTGATGAACAATATTTTGTGTTAAGTGAGGAAAAATGTTTTCAGGCTTTCCTATGTTCCTGCTGTTCTTAGCTTGTAGATTTTTACAATGCCTCCCTACATGGACTGCCATCCCTCTTTCACTTCTACATAACAAATATTTCTGTGTGAGTAGAATGAATGTAATAGCTAACTAAGATTTAGCTAACTCTGGCTTAGGTTTCCACCTCCAACATATATTAGTTTTGTAAACCTAGTAAATCAGCTCAACTTCTATGAACCTGAACTTTCTTCATTTATAAAATGGGGATAATAATATCTGTCCTGCACTTAATGGGCACAGATGTGCCTTGTCAATTCAAAAGTGATATAAAAAATTTTATGCATTATCACATTTATTAGCTATTTTATTGAGCATACAGGTCAGCCCTATTCAGTGCAGGAGAAAACTACACAAGGGCATGAGTACTAGGAGGCAAGGGCCACTGGAAGCTATTTTGGAATCTGGCTACCACACCACATGAATAATACCTTATATGTATAGAATTTCCAAGAAAAGGGAATATCAGAACAGACAAGAATTAGTTTAAAATGTTTCATTTGAGAGATGGAATTTGATATATAAATCTTTTAAGATATTGTGGAAGTGAATGTTTGTGATTTCTGAGGCTAAGCCATAAAAGATACTGCAACTTTAGTAGCTATGTTCTCTTTTGGATCACTCCTTTTGAGGGAAGTCAGTTCCCTTGTTATGGGAACACTCAAGCAGCCCAGTGGACAGCCCCACAGCGGGAGGAACTAAAGCACCAGTTTGCCCATCATGTGAATGGGAATGTGATGGAAGTAGATCTTCCAGACCCAGTCGAGCATTCTGATGACTGCAGCCTTAGCCAACATCTTGACTGCAATGTCACGAAAGACTGTAAAGTTAGATTCAGCAGCCAAATTGCTCCTGAAGTGCTGATCACACAAACTGTGTTTAAGGTTATAAGCCACCAGGTTTGGGATCATTTGTTATGCAGTAATAGATAATTAATAAATGTGGTTGAGACCAATGTACTTTGTCTTAAAAGTATAAGTTTGATGCTTCCATCTAGATCATAAACTCCCAAATATGAACTACATAAAAATTTTTCTAAATACATATAGATCTAAGAAGTTAAGTAAATAAACTATTTAGCATATTAAGTTTCTTTTAACACTGATATTCTAAGGTAGTATCAGTTTGAAAAATAGCCAAAGGTCAGGCCACACTTTCATATGAGTTTTATACAGTCATTATTGGCAAGTCTATGTGATCTTTTCTTTAACATGTAAATTTGCAAGAAATTCTCAATAGAGCAAGTAGGTGATGATTAAAAAGTTACCAAAAAAATTAAAAATAACGTATATTTTCCTGAAATACCTGAGGGAATAGGTGGGGGTTGGGGAGGAAGTAAGGTGTTAGTCTTGCTCTGGGCAGTGCAAGGTAAAGGAGGAGAAGGAGGAGATGGTGCACTATCTTTCATACCATACAGCTTGGACTCTTTAGAGAGGGTTCTTGGCAAGGAAGATCCTCTGGAGGCATTGGGTGATTCGGTCTTTAGTGTCTTGGAATTGTAATGCAACTGTATTAAGACAAATAAACTTTCAAAATTAAAATAATGAAGATGAGAAAAACCAACATATGTAGAAAAATGTGGAAGAAAGAACACCAATCCATGAGTCAGAAGACCCAGTTCCAGTTCTTAAAAGTTAAACGCTGTGATACTAGCAAGATTCTTAGCTGTTTCTCATTTAAAATTTAAAAAGTCATCCCAGATAATAAGTTCCTTCTAGCTTAACTTATAGGATTCTATTATTCTAAAATCTAAAAAATAGGTGTTTAGTTGGACTAGGAAAGGTTTAGCAAATGTAATGACTATCAATGCATAAAAAAGTAACTTCTTACTGACAAATTTTAATGGAAAAGCTGTATAAAAGAAGTGGCAACCTGCAATTTAGATGTTCTTATGTTCAGAATATGGCTATATCAGAGAAAAATGTTGAAAAGTCTCACTTCTTTTTTCTTTTAATTTTTTAAATTTTATTATGTTATGTTAATCACCATACATTACATCATTAGTTTTTGATGTAGTGTTCCATGATTCATTGTCTGCATATAACACCCAGTGCTCCATTCAGTATGTGCCCTCTTTAATACCCATCACCAGGCTAACCCATCCCCCCCCAACCCAGGAAAGTCTCACTTTAATAGGTAAAGGAAGAACACGTATGACAGAAAATAAACACTGCTAAGAATACTTTAATCCTAGACTTTAGGTTTTTACCTTTACATCAACTCCAGGAATGTAAAAAACTGTCGTTTCTAAGTCACTAGACTTTGTCTGTAGAGATGATGGCACTTTCTTGCCAGTCATTAAATGGGTGGTAGAAGCATAATTAGTTTGAAACTTCTTCTTTTTTGAAGGAGAATCTTGATCTAAACTCCTGGAACTTCTATCATAACTCCTATAAATAGAGAAATGATTTTTATCTTGTAAAAAAAGGCATTTATCTCCTTTTATTTAAAATCAAACTTTTACTTATACAGTAAGTGGAATGTAATCCTTCATTAATAAAGTTGAAAAAGGAAAGCTCATTAGTGCCCGCTGCTAACCTGGCTAACACTGTCATGGATGATGTTCATGTTGTGTGCTCTGCACCTACATAGGGCAGCCACCTTTAGGCTTTTCTGAGGTCACAGGTGTTTCACATGAACTTATTAGGTTGAACCAAATGAAATTGCCCTTTACATAGGTAAAACCAGCTGAATATAAGCAATGTATTATAATGAATTAACATGCTTTTTATCATTACTACTACATTTGTAGGAATTTAACTGCTTGAGTGTCTTTTTATCTTCTCATTTTATAAAACCCTCCTTAGACAAAAAGACAATCTAAGTCTTTTTTTAAAAAAAAAGTAATCTCTATACCCAACATGGGGCTCAAACTCACAATCCTGAGGATCAAGAGTCCCATGGTCTACCAACTGAGCCTGCCAGGTGCCCATAAAAATCTTTTATTATGAAAAATTTCAAACATGCAAAAAGTAAACAGAATGGTAAACTGTGAACCCCTATGGCTCTATCTCCCAGCTTCAACAATTGTCAGCATTCTGCCCCCTTTTTTAATTGACATTTCCACCCACTTCCCATCTATCCTCTCAATTATTATTTTCTTTAGCTCTTTTTTAGATTAGGAAAGAAAAGCAAACGTTCAAAGAAAAAATAATCTAATCTTAAGCCTCTTTATACCACCACTTTTTCAATGATGGAGACAAATGGTAAAGCGGCAGTTATACCCTGAAGCACATTCCACTATACTGAGAGCTCTTTGTCCCCCAGTTTCCCAATCTTGCTTTTTTTCTGAATTCATCAAAATTCTGAATAACCAAGATATCTCTGAGCACTGCACTGTTCTTTAAAACAGAAATGTGCACAATACAAGAACAGAGACTGAGAAATATGGGCTTATTTAAAGGAGAATAACAAAGATACAACTCTTTTAATTGCTAGAATCTAAAGCAGAAATGCATTTCTAGTTGCCAGAAAACTTTATAGGCTTGTTTATTTGTTTATTTTTTATTTTTTAATTTTTTTAAAGATTTTATTTATTCATTTGAGACACAGACCACAGAGAGAGAGAGAGCATGAGCAGGAAGAGAGGCAGAGGGAGAGGGAGAAGCAGGTTCCCCACTGAGCCAGAAGCCAGATGTGGGCCTCGATCCCAGGACCCCGGGATCATGACCTGAGCTGAAGGCAGAAGCTTAACCATGTGAGCCACCCAGGTGCCCCTATACACTTGTTTAAAGAAACAGTATGTTATACAAATAACCACTCAAACTTACAACTATGATTAAATCCACTCTTTATATCTGTATTTTGGGACATGGGTGAAAAGGTTCTTTGTAATTCAGTGATATATCAATAATATTTCTAACAAATGAAGTTACATGTATCCTTTTCTGACCAATTTCTTACCTTCTCAAGCTTATATCGTCATGTTCTTGCAGAAGGGTAGTTGGGTGGAGCACACATTTTCCACTATCAATTTCGACTCGTATATCAAGTTCAAAATCAATATTTCTCTCTGTAGCAGTGCCACTGAGACTTCGGTTGACTGGAGTTGTGGGCCAGCGTTCTGTAAATAGTTGATGAACAGCAGCAAAGCCTGTTGCTTTTTTACGAGATGTATGTCTAGAGAAAGAACAATTGATCGTTACATTGTATTAAATTGGAAGAATTTCCAACAACCTATTTCCCAATATATTATGTCAGCAACAGTCTGTAAATAAATTTTACCCATTTTACAAATTCATACATAGTACTCAACTAGCTCATACTAATTTAAGTTTTTCCTAAGTTTGATGGAGTTACATTTTATTCAACAACCATGCACTCAGTAACTATTATGTGCCAGGTGATGTGCTAGGTGTTGAGGACACAGGCATAATCACTGCTATTAAGGGAGTCTGAATATCAGTGTATGAACTATAGTCTACATATTTGAGGAGATTTCATTTTTGAAAATTGTAAAATGCTATTTTCCTGATTTTATTAAAAGAACGAAGAATAAGGAAAGAAAAAAGTAATGCCATGTGGAGCTAAATTACATTAGTAAACCATGGCTATGTCTCTTAGTCTCACTCTGGCTAGGTATATTAAAATTTTTTTCTGTAAAATTTAATAGTTATACATAATGTTTTAAAGTTCAGTTCTAGACTCTGAAATGTTACCTATGGGTCTCAAAATAAAAAGGTCACTTACGAGGGTTTCCTGTAAATATAAAACCTTTCCCTCTCATGGTCTTCATCCTTTTCATCCTTCTCAGAATCTTCACTAGTAGAAGACAAACTGTCATCCCGTCGGCCCTCTTCAGGTTGGAAAGGAATGCCTGATGAATAGCCTCCTGGAGTTTTGGGAGAACTGAACACGGAATATGATCCTTCACTATTCGAGGAGTAATGGGATGGACCTTCAATGGTTACTGACAAAAGGTCCAGTTCTGTTTCCTCTGGAAACTGTACAAAGAGAAGACATGGATCAGGTTCATATTACACATCTCTTCTTAATTAAAAAAAGAAAAAGAAAAAAAATATATGTGTAAACATTTAAAGTCCTCTCAGAGTTGAATTTCCTCACTCTGACTAAAAGAAAGTCATATGAAATGGAACACCAAGAAAGGAAGCAGGTCTTAACCACAGAAAGTCACACTACTGACATACTAAAAATTAGAGTGAAATTTTACATTATATAAGCTTATATCAGCCTGTTAATTAGTACATACTGTGTAATTCTTTAAGCATAAGTTAAACATGCTGTGGAGACAAAGCAAATAATGTTGATCAACTGTAAATCAGAAGGGCAAGAGAGCAATTAGTGATGGAAGAGTACGCAGTGTCCGTACAGAAAGTACTTCATGATTCTGGAGATTCTGGATGCTTTTTATAGATAGCTTTTAAAAATGAGTCCCTAATTGGCTGTAGACAGATGTGCCAGTCATTATGTAATTAAAGATATCAAACTTAAGAATACTATTTTTTAAAGTTAATAGTTTTTTATAAACACTATGTCACTGAGAATTGCACCAGGAGGCCCCTGTATTTAAGGAGATCAAAAAAGAAACAACAATAACAACAACAACACTTCCTATGATCTAATTTGTATTCCCACTTTTGAGAGTTGCTTAAATACCCTTTGAAAATGTGATAAGCCTTTGTAAAGTGTTATGCGCAAGGTAATGTAATTTACTGACGCTATTAGATACAACAAAATTAGATACACGAAAATGGAGTACTGTAATAAAAATTTCAAACATGCAGAATTCAGCTTTTCCTCACTTTTTATAATATACATGTTATTTAGTAAATAAGTAAAAGATTTTACATATCAGAACATCTTTAAAATTTACATTTTTAAAAGTAAGAATCTGTTTTATGTTTATATATATATTTTATATTTATTTTTGTTTAATCTTTGTTTTATATTTATTTTACATTTAACCATGCCTTAATGATCTATTTTATAATTTGTGATTTTTATATACTATTTTTTACAAATGGCATACACTATTTAAAAATAGGACTTGAACCAATTCAAATATTAATGCCTTTAAGAATTACTTAATCATTTCAAAATATACACATAAATCAAATCATTAGTTTTACATCTGAAACTGCTATGATGTTGTATGTCTCAATAAAAAAAATTGGATGGGGAAAAATCAATTAGGAGAATCCCTCAATTCAATTCTGTAAATGATTTATTTCCAAGTTCGTTTTTAGAAAAAAAGGACATGTTTATCAAGCTCCCTATAATCTCATAGTTCTAAAACAAAATTCAGTTTGACTACATTCAGTGTAACTATGGGATATGTACTCAAACTATAGCTTAAGAGGGCAGGGAAGCAAAATGTACGTGGAGTAAGTGCCAGTTTGTAACGTAACTTGACAGAAAATTCCTAGACAAAGATTTATATACCTAGTGTACAGATCTATTTTTAAAATTTAATTTTACTTTCATGACTTATATTTAGGGAAAATATACAGTTCATAAAAATGTTAATTCAACTTATAAGTCCTTGTGTAGCACATTTTCCATACTGTTTTGAACACAATTTTTAAATGGATTGTTTTTATAAATGTATGTTTTATATGCATACAGTGACTCCAAAGAAATAACATTCAATGATTGATCTGTTGTTCTGTGAGAAGTTTGATTCTAGTTTCTGTTAGTTAAAATTCTTTTTTTAAAGAAAAGATTCATTTTGTGGTTGAATGTAGAGAAAAGAGATTCACATAGGGATTAGCAAATAACTAATAAATAGCAGTTTTTGACTTACGATTTGGTTAATCTGGTAAGCTGATTTAGTCTTTAATTTTGGAGATTCAATAATTAATATCATACAAAGAAATATAGAACTAAAGTATATTCATGCAAGAGCTTATAAAACATACATGATGAAAAAGAATTCAAACAATCTTAAAGCTTTATGTAAAATACTTTTGATGTCTGAGTTTAGTATAAAATGAGAGGAAGACATTTTGAAAGCAGATTTTCAGGGTGGTTAATTAGTTTTAAAGCAAAATTTATGTTGTTCTTAATAAGTACCTGAAAATACCCTTCCCCAGGACAGCTGGATTGTGGCGTACTTCCCCATATTGTTTTTTTCAACTTAATTAAAATAATAAGAAAATATATAAAAACTCATGAAAAATAAAAAGACAAGTTTAAAAGCAAAGAAACATTCAAAAAAACAAAATAAACATGTTAACGTAAATTTTTACATATATAAAATTAAATATAACTTTTAAGCTGACCTTTTGACTTCTGGTTTCTGCTATTACCTCTATATATTCTGAACTAAAATACATAATAAGATAAATAAAGTATAAACATTCCACATTTACACTTGTGTAAAAGACCTAGTTTAATGTGGACTCATACTTGAAAGGAAAATTATTCAACAAAGTCTTTCCACCTAAGAGCAAGCAGTATGGAATCTTTATTCTAGGTGCAAAACACAAACATGAGCAGCACGGCTCTCAAATGATAGCATAGAGGCAGTGTCCTGCTGTTTGGTAATTTAAAGACACTTCACCCATCACAATTAGCACTTTCATTGTAGGAATTCGTATTTTGAAACTGTGTAACTACTATAATTTCATAATTACTAAAAACTCTTTGGTACTGTGTATTTCTAACAAATAATCTCTCTCTTACTGTATCTTGGATATTGAAAGTTACTCTGGGTCCTGGAGATGCTGCATCCACACGGATTTCAGGGAGCTCCTCAGTTTCTCCCATTCGAGAACTGGAAGTAAAATATAAAGTTATAAAACAATAATAATAGTCTTTTTTAAAAAAAGTGCCTGGACTTAATGAAAGTCTAGCAAATGACAGTAAATTCTAAATATTTCTAAATATTTACCTTATCCAAGGATTAAATTTTTGGTATCCCATTTCTGAATCTTTAGCATCCCATAAAAAAAAAAGAACACTGAATATTTTAATTAACATGAGATTTTCTAAAACTAAACCATATTAAAAAATTTATACTTCTTACTTTAAGTGCTCATTAATTAGTAAGACAGTATTTTTCTCTAATATGTAGAATGTACTTCTTTACTAAAAAGTACACAATGATTCTGGTATAATTACGATAGAGGAATTCCTCAAACTTTTTAGTTTGACAGTATCCATTATTACCAGTATTTGACTAATATGTTTCATTTTTGCTCCCTTATGTAATTTCCCCAATTAGAACATAATAAATTAGTGGAACTTCATAAAGGAGTCAGCAATTTTATTACTTGTTTCAGTAGTAGAAATATATATTACCTTGCCCTTTCCATTCGTTTAAGAGGAGGTCTTCCAGAAGCAGAAATGCTTTTTGAACGGCTATAACTTGGTTTGTAACCCAAACCCCACTTATCCTTTAGAGAAGCAGCCTAATGAAATGGGAGAGGAAGAATGACTTTAGACAATTGTTTATGTCATAATATCTGACTACAGATAAAATATTCTATTAAACAAAATAGTATGTTTCCCCAGGTCAATAACATGTTACTTTAAATCTGACTTTAAATGTCACTTAACAGTATATAGATGGATCAAAGTAGAGCAGGACTCTGCTACTTTTCAGTCCTAATGTCAATTAGAAGGGCTGTAAAATGAAAATACAATTCACTGTCTGGCCTGAGAGAGAAAAGAAAAAGATTGGGAGCAGGCATGAGGGGTACAGAAATAAGGTGAGAAGAAAGGAAACAAAAAGGAAAGAAAGGCAAAAGAAAATGAGAATTAAAAGGAAAGATTCTGAGAGAAAGCTGGGTGGTGGGAGGAGGTGAAAGGGAGAACAGAGGAGAGCTGGAGGCAGAGAGGGAGAGGCTGGGGTGGGGAGGCCATCGATCATCTCAAGTACCACCCACGGGCACCCCTGCCATGGCACTCCATTACAGGAAAGGAAAGGAAGGGGTGACCTCAACACTCTACTTGTCTCCAAATCCCTCTTCTCCAAAGGTGTAGTTGGGGGCTGGAAAATGAAAAGATTCCAAGACAATGGAGATTTGGAATGCAAGAGGACTGAGGGGGAAGTGAGGGGGGAAAGACAGATGAGATACATGTTAAGAACACTGATAAAACTTCGAGAATTTCCCTAATTCTCTCTACCTAGATTTTATTTTTAACAGTCAATTACCAAGTATAAACTACCTTATAAATAGTACATAAGCAGTATTTTAATTCTATTGTATGATTGTTAGGTATATAGTAACAAAAATTTTAAACACAGACTTAGGCATTACAGATCATCACTATCCATTTATTACCATCAGAAGCCAGTGATGAATAACTCATACTGGATTTTATCTTAAATTTGAATAAATAATTTAGAACGGTATTCAAACTAGGGTGTCTGGGAGTTGGGGGTGATCAAGAAAGTTTAAGCCAATGAACCCTGGATCCCTGCAACCTTTCCCCCCTTCCTCTGGCCCAACCAGCTCTGATTTAATGTTTTTTATGTATTAGGGTGCCATCAAAAAATGGAGGGTTCTGTTGATTATTTAAAAAAAATAAGGTTAAGAACCTATCTTTTTTGAAAAAAGTAGTTTTTCCACTAACAAGACCACCTTGATCCAAGGAAACCTACCTCCATTTAAATACATTTTAGAACTATTTTCTACTATATGTTTACAGAATATCTATCTATGTATTTATTTCACTTGTTCAGCAATTGGACTAAATCCCAAAAAATGTGGTAGGAAATGGGGTCAAAGATAAATAACTTGTTATTTATGAGACTCATTCTAGTTAGGACAACTAAATGTGCAAAGAAAAGAGAATGAAGTGCTGAGAGTACATAGTGGTTGAGAGGTAAAGTCAGCTGCGGAAAATGGGACAGGAGTAGAATGGGCATCTCAAAAGACTCATACTGAGATACAGACTGAAAAGAAAGTGTGATTTTATGAAAGGTGGACAAAAGACAGTGGCTAAGGACAGACTGTAGAGTCCCACTGTTTGGGTTTAATCTTGGCTCCACCAAGATTGACGGCTGTATAACCTTGGTCAAATTACTAGACTTCTCTCTGTCTCAGTTTCCTCATTTTCAAAATGGGGAAAAAAATACAAGCTACCTCATATGGCTATTGTAAAGATTTAATGGGTTGTTAAATGGAAAGTGCTTTAAACAGTGCCTAGTACATAGTGGATATGAGATGCACAAATCAAGTGGTATTATCACCAGCAAGGGAGAAAGAAAGAGAACTTCAGTATGGTCACAAAGTTTCATAAAGTAAAAAATAAAAGAATGGTCTACTCCAATAATAAAATTCTTCTTAAATGTTGACTCACTCGCATACTGGACCTCCGTAATTTCTTACGAACGTCTCTTCGAATATCATTCACAGCAACAGATTCTAACTGTTGATAACGCTGAATTTCCTGGTTTATGGTTCCTTCACTTGCACCTAATTTTCTGGATGCAAAACAAATATGGCAATTAGTGTAAAGAGGTAACAGAGTAAGAATGATTTATATTTGCTCCACAGAACATCAAAGATTATATATGGACAGGCCAAAATCCTCCATAACTTTTAACACCTTGGTGATCTCATTTATAAATTAAGGGGTTATACTAGCCCAAATCCAGTTTTCTCCATATTTAAAATTCTATGATTCTATTATTAAAAAATATTATATTAAAAATCATTACACATACTTAAGATCACTTACTAAACTGTAAAAAAACTCTCTGATATTTTAGGAAATGGCTTTCTCACCTCTGCATTAAGAATCTCTATGACAACTTCATGAAAGCTATGGACCCACTCTGCAGAATAATGTCTGTATGTAAAATTCTACATAAATTTAAGCCTCAGGTACAATTTAAAGGGAGGAAGCATATTTTGCTTCAAGTCATTTTTAACCCCTGAGAGCAAAACTCAAACTGTAATGTAAGTCAACAGGAAAATGTGAGTCACTGTATTGTCATTAATTTACAGACCAGTTTTTAGGTAATACCTATCATTGTACAAAATGCACATATTTGTCTAGAGTCCCTGAATGCAAAACCTCTAACACAGGTGGTGTATGAAGATTAGAAAAGATGTACTGAATCATTGAACACTACATTAAAAACTAATGATGTATTATAGGTTGGCTAACTGAACATAAAAAAAAAAAGTATATTCCAGAAATACCAATGTTAGCAAAAGACTAACACATATGTTAACATACACATGTGAAGTTACATGTAGGTGTATATATATATGTAAAGATATGTATATGTGATACAAAGTCTGTCATAAACTGCCCAGAAATGGGGAGTTGCAATGAGTGCTGCACCAGGACTTCAAGCCTAACTTAATCACTAATGAATGTATGATCTCAGGCAAGTTATCAAACTCTACTGGACCTTGGTGATCTCATTTATAAATTAAAGGGGTTGTACTAGCCCAAATCCAGTTTTCTCCATATTTAAAATTCTATGATTTTATTATTTAAAAATATTGTATTATATTAAAAATCATTACACATACTTAAGATCATCTATTACTTTGGCCTGTTCATTCAGTTCTCTGATATCCACTATACGCTTCATAATTTTTCTTCCTCTAAGTTCTCCTGGCTGGCTACAAGATGCTCCTTGTCTTCGATAATCTACAGCTTCCTGAAAAATCAAAAGCATGTCTGTCAATACCATCCTCAGGTCACATAGGCAAATCTATACTATCACAAAAATAACACCTTAAATCAAAGGAAGCATGCAAGAATCAAAGCCATCTATATCAAGTAAGATGATTGGAATTCTCCAGTGATTCAAATCCCTTTATTTTCACAAGGAATCTATGTAGTTGCTACCTACGTTTCCCCATGAGTGAGCTCTGCATGCTTTCAAATGGGACTGGCTAGATTGAGGGGAGCCCCACATCTCTGGGTCACACAGATACTCTGCAGGAACAGAATAGCGCTGATTTGGGGGCGTCAGGCCTAGCAGGTGATTTACAAGTCGCTGACCAAAGGTGAGCTTGTGGCCATCTCCACTTACTGAACTTCCATCTGAACTCTAAATGATAAACAGTAACATTAATTTTTTAAAAATTTCTTTCTAAAAACAAGACTATTTCATGAAACAATAGTTAAAAGATACTTAAATTTTTTTTAAACCAATACCAGAACAAAAGTAGAGAGTAATTTGCCTTTTAACTACCAAATAATTTATACTATATACAGTATGGAGGGAAATACATCTTTTTAAATGTATACTTTATTTTGTGTGCATGCACTTTGCTTTTCAGATTCATTTTTTAGCACCTTTATTGAGATATAATCCACATGTCATAAAATTCACCCATTTAAAATGTAAAATTCAGTGGTTTTGAGTATATTCACAAAGTTGTACAACTGTCACCACAATCTGTTTAGAACATTTTCACCACCCCAAATGAAACATCATAACTAACAGCAGTCTTTCTCCATTCCCCATCCCTGACTCTCCCAGCCCTCAGCAACCACTAATGTACTGTATGTATCTACAGGTTTGCTTGCACTTTGCTTTTAATGTTAGTACATTACTTGCAGGTTAAGGCACAAGTTTGTTGACAGTTATTATGAAAACTGTCAATGAAAAGACAATATTATGAAAATAAAAAACAACATTATAAAATATAGACCCAGGGAACCACCACTCTCTCCCTTCCTCTACAATTATCAACTACAATATAATAAATAACATTAAGTCAATCTTTTCCTTGTCTCAGGGTAAAGGCCAGTCCAGAAAAGTCTAACAGTGAGTTTACTTACAGTATGGATAGTGGGAGACATAGTATCAACTTCATCCTCATCTGACAGATCAGCTATGTTCACTGAATTTAGATCAGCAATATCATCTATGTCCTCCTCTCCTGTCAGGGTCGTAAGGGTATTGCCCAGAGCATTAAGTCTTTTGCCAATGTTAGGATCCATGTGGACATCGATCCCACACATTTTCCATAAAACATTGAGTGTCCATGTTCCAGCACTACTACTTTCTGTTTAAATAAAGAGAAGTGGCATTTTTGGTAAGTCTTGAGTTCAGAAATTTAACTCAAACTAATATTTAAGGAATAAAGTGGATGATGGCCTTGTGTAACAACTAATGTCTCTCACAGCTAGGTCTGGGATTGATTTCCCTTTGCAGAGTGTGCATCTCTTGTTCCCTCTGTGCAGGACCCTTCTTTCTCCTGTGAACTATGGATTCTCTCTTCTCCCTGCTCCCGAACTGATCTACCCTCCCATGGCTGTAGTGGGAATTGCCATGACCCTCACTCATTAGTCAGAATTAGATAAGTAGGCCAGGTGAGAGTCAAAGTTGGGAAACTGAAACCCTTCCCTGGAGTTCAGAAAACAATGGTCCCTCTCTAATAATTGAGGGTGGGGAAATGAGGCTCATGAGCTGATGGCAGCCATGTCTCCTGCCGTGTGTAATGAGGAGATTAGCAGTATGAAGAAAATGAAGCAGCCAGAGAGGAGCAAAGAGCCCTGGTGGCAGTTGAAATCTTGGATCCAGGAGTTCCTGAGGGCCCCTAAATTGATCTAGTTCCTTATCTTCACTGAGATAGCCATTCCTAAGTTTAACTGTGATCTGTACATTCCTTTTAATAAACTCCCCCCTTCTGGTTAAGCTAGTTTGTGTGCCTTGTCGTCACTTATAAACCAGAGTCCTGACAGACTTTTATGTGGCCTTTCTCCACATATGTATGTGTTTACCTCAGTCATCACCCTTTCCTTCTAACATTACTCCTGGAAATTTCTTTTTTTTTTTTTTTTAAAGATTTTTATTTATTTATTTGACAGAGAGAGAGACAGTGAGAGAAGGAACACAAGCAGGGGGAGTGGAAGAGGGAGAAGCAGGCTTCCCGTTGAGCAGGGAGCCCGATGTGAGGCTGGATCCTAGGACCCTGGGACCATGACCTGAACCGAAGGCAGATGCTTAATGACTGAGCCACCCATGTGCCCCACTCCTGGAAATTTCTTAAACTCTTCTTCAGTTCTCTGTCAGTGGGACTGTTGGCCTTGCTACTTTCTGACACAATTTACTTAGGATGAGAACCAAGGCTAGGCTTGGGGAGGACAACAGGAAATAGTAAGGAGAAAAAGGAAATCTACTAACTTTAATCAGCTTCTACTCGCACTGACATTTTAAGAGCCCTTAAATAAATATCTTCCTTTAGCTTACCCTTACTTTATACCAAGTAAAATCAAAATCACTAAAAATTTACATTAGATAGGTTATAACTTCCAGAGTTATCTCCTAAACAGTTTTCTAAGATTTTTTTCCTTTCTAATCCTTGGAAGTGTCTTTCTTGCTCACAAAAATTCAGTGGCTCTCCCACTGTCAACCAAATTAAGTCCAGACTCCTTAATTTGAGATTTAACATTTTTCCCATATTATTTTTTACATAACTCTGTTCCACCCAGTCTGGACAACTCTAACTAGACACCCTTTTCATAGCATAACTAATATTCTGTCTGCCTGAATTTTCTGACCCATACCCTTCCAGTTTCTGCTTCAGAAACAATTTTATCTGTTAAGTCCCTATTCAAATGCTTGTTAAATATTAAAAGAAGCTTTCTCTGGGCCGCATGGGTGGCTAGTCAGTTAAGTGTCTGCCTTCGGCTCAAGTCCTGATCCCAGGGTACTGGGATCAAGCTTGCCTTCGGGCTCCCCAGTCTGTGGGGAGCCTGCTTCTCCCTCTGCCTCTGCATCTTTCTTTCTCTGACTCTCATGTCTCTCTCTCTCTCACGAATAAATACAATCTTAAAAAAAAAAAGATTTCTCTAGTCCTAGTATCCTTCCAAATTTGGAATTTTTCTTTCCCCTCAGTAGATTTCAGAAGCAATTAGAATTTCATATTTTTTTGAACTTACCACTTATTATAGCTTAGTCATGCTGCAGAGCCTCAACTACATTAGAATTTAAATTTATAGAGTAGAAAGTATATCTTATTCGTATTTGTCTTTCCCAAAACTTTTTGCAATATATCAGCAAGTGTCTAATAAATAATTGTTAAATAAATAAAAATATGTTAATATTAAAAATAGTTTTAAAATCAGGGAACACTGGATGAGTTTAGTTAAAAGACACTCTTAATGTTAATATAAAGGCTATATATGTCTGTGTATATATGTGTATTTACATATATATGTATAAAAAGGCAGAATTCTAACTTATATATGTAAAAAAGGTAATACCAGTCATGAACTTACCAGCAGCTGCTTGTCCTGTAGTCCTAGAACATACTTCATAGGTGCCATCTGGAACTACACCTGCATAAAAATCACCCCAAAAATAGTTTTCAATAAAATTATGGTTGTGAGCATCCTTTCTTGATTAAAACACTTCAGAGTGTAGGGATAGAGGGTACATACCTTAATATCATAAAAGCCATCTATGAAAAACCCACAGCGAATATCATTCTCAATGGGGAAAAACTGAGAACTTTTCTCCTAAGGTCAGGAACATGGCAGGGATGTCCACTATCATCACTGCTATTCAACATAGTATTAGAAGTTCTAGCCACAGCAATCAGACAACAAAAAGAAATCAAAGGCATCTGAATTGGCAAAGAAGAGGTCAAACTCTCACTCTTTGCAGATGATACGATACTTTATGTGGAAAACCTAAGACTCCACCCCAAAACTGCTAGAACTCATACAGGAATTCAGTAAAGTGGCAGGATATAAAATCAATGCACAGAAATCAGTTGCATTTCTATACACCAACAACAAGACAGAAGAAAGAGAAATTAAGGAGTCGATCCCATTTATGATTGCACCCCAAACCATAAGATACCTAGGAATAAATCTAACCAAAGAGGCAAAGAATCTGTACTCAGAAAACTATAGAATACTCATAAAAGAAATTGAAGAAGACACTAAGAAATGGAAAAATGTTCTATGCTTATGGATTGGAAGAACAAAGATTGTGAAAATGTCTATGCTACCTAGAGCAATCTATATATTTAATGCAATCCCTATCAAAATACCATACACTTTTTTCAAAGAAATGGAACAAATAATCCTAAAATTTCTATGGAACCAGAAAAGACCCCGAATAGCCAGAAGAATGTTGAAAAACAAAAGCAACGCTGGTGGCATCACAATTCTGGACCTCAAGTTCTATTACAAAGCTGTAATCATCAAGACAGTATCGTACTGGCACAAAAACAGACACATAGATCAAGGGAACAGAATAGAGAGCCCAGAAATGGACCCTCAATTCTATGGTCAACTAATCTTTGACAAAGCAGGAAAGAATGTCCAATGGAAAAAAGACAGTCTGTTCAATAAATGGTGTTGGGAAAATTGGACAGCCACATGCAGAAGAATGAAACTGGACCATTTTCTTCCTCCTAACACAAAAATAGACTCAAGATGGATAAAAGACCTAAATATGAGACAGGAATTCATCAAAATCCTTGAGGAGAACACAGGCAGCAACCTCTTCAACCTCAGACACAGCCACTTCTTCTTTCACACATTGCCAAAGGCGAGGGAAGCAAGGGCAAAAATGAACTATTGGGACTTAATCAAGATAAAAAGCTTTTGCACAGCAAAAGAAACAGTCAACCAAACCAAAAGACAACCGACAGAATGGGAGAAGATATTTGCAAATGACATAACAGATAAAGGGCTAGTATCCAAAATCTATAAAGAACTTCTTAAACTCAACACCCAAAGAACAAATGATCCAATCAAGAAATGGGCAGAAGACATGAACAGACTTTTTTCCAAAGAAGACATCCAAATGGCCAACAGACACATGAAAAAGTGCTCAACATCACTCGGCATCAGGGAAATCCAAATCAAAACCTCAATGAGATACCACCTCAGACCAGTCAGAATGGCTAAAATTAACAAGTCAGGAAATGAGAGATGTTGGCGGGGATGCGGAGAAAGGGGACCCCTCCTACACTGTTGGGGGGTTATAGCAGCAATGTTCACAATAGCCAAGCTATGGAAAGAGCCTAGATGTCCATCAACAGATGAATGGATAAAGAAGACGTGGGGTGTGCGTGTATATATGTATACATGTATATATGTATATAGACACACACACACAATGGAATATTATGCAGCCATCAAAAAACCCCGAAATCTTGCCATTTGCAATGACATGGATGGAATTAGAGGGTACTGTGCTAAGTGAAATAAGTCAATCAGAGAAAGACAAGTATAATATGATCATATGATCTCACCGATATGAGGAATTCGAGAACCAAGACAGAGGATCATAGGGGAAGAGAGGAAAAAATGAAACAAGATGAAACCAGAGAGGGAGACAAACCATAAGAGACTCTTAATCTCAGGAAACAAACTGAGGGTTGCTGGAGTGGTGGGGGGGTGGGAGGAATGGGGGCCTGGGTGATGGACATCGGGGAGGGTATGTGCTATGGTGAGCGCTGTGAATTGTGTAAGACTGATGAATCACAGACCTATACCTCTGAAACAAATAATACATTATATATTAAAAAAAAAAGAGAAGATAGTAGGAAGGGAAAAATGAAGGGGGGAATTGGAGGGGGAGATGAACTGAGAGACTATGGACTCTGAGAAACAAACTGAGGGTTTTAGAGGGGTGGGGGGTGGGGGGATGGGTTAGCCCAGTGATGGGTATTAAGGAGGGCATGTATTGCATGGAGCACTGGGTGTTATATACAAACAATGAATCATGGATCACTACATCAAAAACTAATGATGTAATGTATAGTGACTAACATAACCTAATAAGATAAAATTAAAAAAAATTATGCTTGTGATTAAATAATGTAATGTTTCACCCAAAGACTATTATCTAAATATAAACAGAATCACTAGCCTCTTTAGGCTTCAATTTCTAGTCTGCAGAATGAAACATCTACCTTAGATGACTCGTAATATTCCATATCTCAACATTTTTTATTTTATGCTTTTAAGAATTTAACTGCAGCTTTATCTTTACATTCTGCATGTGACAATACCCGGCCAACGCTGAAGCTCTAGTTTCTAGATGGTATGACAATTTGTGCCATCATGTAAATGGCGCTTTGAGAATGTAAATGATTTAAAAAATAATTTTCTGTTAATAAGAACTTCCACATTTAGGTCACAGACAGGATTTATCAGCCTTGTCTTTTCATGGATCTTTTTTTTTTTAAAGATTTCATTTATTTACTTGACAAAGAGAGAAACAGCGAGAGAATGAGCACGAGCAGGGGAAGTAGGAGAGGGAGAAGCAGGCTCCCCGCTGAGCAGGGAGCCCAATGTGGGGCTTGATCCCAGTACCCTGGGACCATGACCTGAGCCAAAGGCAGATGCTTAACGACTGAGCCACCCAGGCGCCCCTCATGGATCATTTTATGAGAAAAAAAAATGACTGACTACCATGATGTCAGTCTCATACAATTACTCTCTTAAGGTCATGGGCTTATCCTCAGAACATATCTAACTTTAACTCTGAAATATTTACTATCACTTAGCTTTAATCTGATAACTTCAACTTCAAAAAAAAAGAGGTGAACTAAATCAACAATTTTAAACAGTAAAGGGACATACCACCTTTGAAACAACTTTTCAAAAAAGTAAAGTCTAAGGACAGGGTTAAGACTCTCAGTAATCCTTCATAGAAACCAAATTTCGATCTAAACCTGGCAGTACATAAATCTTAAATGAAATGTCCTTTTGCAATTCATTCTGTATCCTAAGTGGATATTCAAATGTTACTCAAATCTGAGCTGCAGAAATACTATAACTTATTTTGGGAGAAAGAGTCTATTAAGCAATAATATTATGTGGGTTTTTAAAAGATAATGCCAATAACTTTAAAATCTAAATTATATTTTTGAACCATATGGTACCTGTGCTTCGTATATAAATTACAGAATATTAGAAAACTAGATCTTGTCTCAGCATAAAAGATTGCCCAATTCACCTTTACAGTCTTGGGGTTACAAATCAGAACAAAAGGAACTTGGATAACTCTTTCAAATCTAAGAATGCTAGAATGAAAAGAAAACCCTCTGAAATTTGAGTAACATAATGGAGACAAATGAAAGGTAGTAAATAAAAGAGGGATAGAAAACTTTCAGGACTTCCAATTCCAAGGAGTGTCAGAGAATTTTTAAAAATTAAGTTTAAAAAAATTATATAAATTCATATATTACAGAGCCATGATGAATTGAAAAGGAATATTAAGATTTTTAGGAGTAGATCCAAATCCTCAAAATGAGGAGAAGGCAATCAACTAGCCTCTTCCCTGTTGTGCCCATGGTCTCTGAGTCAGAAACAGAATGCCGAGTTGGATCAACCATTAGTCTGAATTCAGGATAGCAATTTTCCTGCTCTTTCGACCTAATGTTACCCAGGTGTTAACATAGAGCTTGGAGTCTTTCAAACTTCTTCTACACCGCCCCCCCCCCCCCCCGCCATGCTACAGTTTCAAACTTTTAATGGTTTATATAAATTTTTTTTAAAGATTTATTTTTTTTAATTTGACAGACAGCAAGAGAGGGAACAACACAAGCAGGGGGAGTGGTAGAGGGAGAAGCAGGCTTCCCGCTGAGCAGGGACCCCGATGCGGGGCTCGATCCCAGGAGCTGGGATCATGACCTGAGCCGAAGGCAGACGCTTAATGACTGAGCCACCCAGATGCCCCTGGTTTATATAATTTTTATAAATAAATGTTAGTGAAGATTCTGATCTTTTCTATCTACTTATATGGTCCTTTGAATTCTATCTACAGATTGTCCTTTCTAATTTTTACTTCATTTCCTAGAAAACATTATCACCCTATAGAGGCAATTCCACTGAGCCATCTTTTTTCTAGGGCCTGATTTTAAAATGATCTGTTAAAAAAAAAAAATCCTACAGCATAACTCTACTGTTTTTGTTTCTCTACCCTAATTCAGACCTTTTTGTCAAAAATATTTAATGTCATTTATATTCTATTTATTATTACTAATAAAAACTAATTTGCCACTGTTATAATTTAGAATACTTATATTAATAAAACAACCACTCAACTCTTCTGCTTCCTTCCCAAGACACCAAACAAAAAGCATGTTATAAAAACAAGTCATTTAGTATCCTACAAAACCTAAAATAAACCATGATTATTACAATTATCAGCATATTAGTATTCTACTTAGTTGGTATAATATACATTGAGGTAGAGTTATTGTTTATATATTTTTAATACGTTTTTGATTTTGATTCAGAGGCATATTTCTCAGGCATTTTCCCTTTATAATAAACTATTAAGGAAATGGTATAAATTCTCTCTGCTTCCAAATATATTTATCCATTTTAATGATTATAAAAAAGGCAAAGGTCATCTTATTACAAATCAGTAATTTAAATTTATTTTAAGAAAAAAACAGACAAAAGAGTTATAGTGACTTTTAAAAATATATATAACAACTGTATAAAAGCTTATTTGTAAAGATTTCTGATGAAGGCTATTTTTGTTCTTGTGGATAGTGGATATTAAGCATAAGTACTTTGATATCAAGTCTTCTTAGTAACCTCAAGTATTTCACAGAAGTTCCAGCATTTCACCTATGAATTATCTAAGTAAGAAGCAGTCAAAAACAGAATTTCACCTATAATTTTATCTAAGTTTTAATCAAAATGGAATGCCAAAACTTCAATTTTTGATATAAAAATAATGAAAAGTTTTCTTGTTCTTTAAAGAAGACCTAGAACTGGAAAGAAGATTTTCTTCCAGTGGAGAAGGGAAAACACTGCATAAACAACAGCAAACCACCTTTTGTAAAGTTAAGTATTAATTTTGGTTTAGAGATTGGCTGAGGAATTTTAGTTAGCAACCTTTAATTCCTCAAATGTAGTTTTTCTTTATTAGAAGATCAATGATGATTTATTAACTCTGCTATAATATTTTAAAATATATTATTATATTAAATAAAAATAAACCCATATACCTTCAAATATATTAAAATAAAAATAAACCCATATACCTTCGAAACTGTATATAAACACAGCTTTAGTTACACCTAGCCTTGAGTATTATGGAATCAGAGGAATTCACACAAGTTACACACTGTAGCTTACAAATTTAGACACATGAATTTATTCATATCAATATTATTTTATGGCTAGAGTTCCTGTTCCTGGTTATCTACAACCTGTTGTTCTATGTTATATGATGAACTGGATCCTGCACATTTATCACTTCCTTTGAAGATCCCCACAGAGCAAAGATGCTTTATCTGGTCATTCATTAATCAATTATAGGAAAAAATCAGGTAGTAAACGAATCTTCAAATGTTAGACTGTCAAGAAGAATGCCTAGTTGATTCACTTACCAAAACTACAGAAAGCTGTAGTGTTTCACAAATATGACCTCCCTTTAACTAAAAATAGCCCTGATTTCAGAAAGTCCAATAACATTCCTATAGCTAAGCATCCTATGGTTTTACAAATGAAGACACTGTTTTTGTTTTTTTTTATTAAAAAAATTCTAAACCTCATGCAGAAAATAAAAGACACTCACAGGCATTCATCACTAGATCGCCACGAATTTCTGGTTTCCAGTCATCCCACGACGTCTCAAAGCCATCAGCAAAACGAATACAAAAGTTTTTGAAATGCCCTTTACTAACCAGAGATTCTGAAGAACAAGCAGTGATGAGAGTACTTTCAATGGTCAATACTAAAGCAGAACCAATGTCAAGGTCTCCAGTGTGATTAGACTGCAAAATATATTAAAAAATAAGACAAAAGATAGAATGTTTTAAATTTGGAAATTCTCACAGGATTCATAGGAAAAAAAGTTTAGAAAAAGTCAAGACTAGAAATCTTCATTAAAAAGCAGCTTAGAAAGATGTCTACTTTTAAAAATTAAATTGTTGAAGTGAATACATTTGCCATGTGCATCTTTTTTATTATTGTTCAATTAGCCAACATATAGTACATCATTTGCTTTTGATGTAGTGTTTAATGACTCATTAGTTGCATATAACACCCAGTGCTCATCACAACACGTGCCCTCCTTAATACCCATCATCTGGTTACCCCATCCCTCCACCCTTCTCCCTTCTATAACACTCAGTTTGTTTCCCGGAGTCCAGAGTATCTCATGGTTTGTCTCCCTCTCTGATTTCTTCCCATTCAGTTTTCCCTCCCTTACCCTGTGGTCCTCCACGCTATTCCTTATGTTCAACATATGAGTGAAACCATATAATTGTCCTCATCTTTTTTTTTTAAACTCGCAAAAGGTAGGGGTGCCTGCATGGTTGAGTCGGTTAAGCGTCTGACTCTTGATTCCGGTGCAGGTCATGATCTCAGGGTCGTGGGATCAAGCCCCAGGTGGGGCTCTGAGCTCAGTGGGGAGTCTGCTTGAGATTCTCTTCCTCTCCCTCTGCCCCTCCCCCACTCACATGCATGTGCTCTCTCTCAAATAAATAAATAAATCTTAAAAAAGCTCACAAAAGTTAATTATCTCGTTTTGGGGGGCTTTTTGTTTTGTTTTGTTTTTAGAGAGAGAGAGAGAGAGAGAGAGCACAAGCAGGTGAGGGGGAGAGGGAGAGAATCTTAAGCAGGCTCCATTTGGCACTGAGCCCCAGCAGGGCTCCACATGAGTCTCCATGTGGGGTTTGATCTCACTACCCCGAGATCATGACCTGACCTGAAATCAACAGTCCAACACTTAACTGAGCCACCGAGGTGCCCCTAATCATCTAGTTTTCTATCTCAAGCTTCTGTTTTAGCCACCTTTGGTGTATATGGCTTTCCTGTGCTCTGTCCATAATGCCATTAAAAAATCACCATTTTTCAACTCCTGAGGCATAAATATACTACATGTTGCCAATGATCGATCCAGAGTTTTTCTTCACAATGTCTTGCTAAACAAATACTAAAAGTTAAATTCATTCAACAACTGGTTACAGGTTAAGGTAAATTTTAACAGTAAAACAGACCTCTGTATTTGATATAATTGTAACCTCTTAGGCCTGATAGGGGTTTATAGCCCTTTTTTGTCTCATATGCGTGTCCATAAATTATGAAAATTCTTGCTTCATCTGGCATACATAACTTGGAAGTTTCATTACCATTAAATATTGCAGCTTAAAGGCATTTTGAAATCCCCTACCCTATTTTAGATGAGACTATTGAACATTATTAAACAGTATTCTTTATTTTTAATTTTTTTCTTTTTAGATTTATTTATTTGAGAGAGAGAGACAGAGATAGTGAGAGAGAACACAGTGGGGAGGAGAGGGAGAAGCAGGCTCCCCGCAGAGCAAGGAGCCCGATGCGGGCCTCAATTCCAGGACCCCAGGATCATGACCTGAGCCAAAGGCAGTCGCTTAACTGACTGAGCCATCCAGGCACCCCTCTTAAACAGTATTCTTAAATGTTTTTTTGCTTCTACTTTATTAACAAGTGTATGCCAAAGACTTTTTTGCTAAAAAACAAAACAATAAAAATATTCTGGGGGTGCCTGGGTGGCTCAGTCAGTTGGGCAGCTGCCTTCGGCTCAGGTCATGATCCTGGGGTCCTGGGATCGAGCCCCACATCAGGCTCCCTACTCAGTGGGAGAGCTTGCTTCTCCCTCTCCCTCTGCCTGCCACTCTACCTACTTGTGCTCTCTATCTCTCTGTCAAATAAATAAATAAAATCTTAAAAAAAAATCTGAAAACTAAGCTGCTTATTTTTCAAGGTAAAAATTAAGATTTATCAGATGGGTATCAATCTCATCACAATTCTGTGGCAGAGTGCTTCAGAGCAAAGTCTCATGAGATTCATATGTAATACACTGTGGATGAATAATGGCTGAAGGAACCCAGTCTTACTTGCTATTTACTAAACTCAAGTTATAAACTGTTAATATGAAAAAATTATTATACTCCATATACAAAGAAATGGTTAGTAGAATATTATACTCTTAATCTTGGACTATGATTTTTTGTACCTGTGCAGTATTTGTGATGGGCAGACATATTCCCAGATCATTCACAGTGAGCTGGAGGAAGAGAGTCCCAAAGGCCTGGGCTGATGTTTGCTGGATACCTGGTAGCATATCTACTACTTCCTTTGTAGCCATATGAATATCTTTATGTAAAGCCATTCGTTGTTCATTCCAGTTGTCATAGGCAGCCTTATAATTCAGCCAAAATAGCACAGCTTTTTATAATTAAGGCAGGGTGGAAAGAAAATTAAAATCAAAGCTGTAAAGCTAGAAGGCAAGTAAAACTCAGTAGCTTCAAAATCTAGCTGGTTAATAAAAATTACTCCCATGAGAAAATTATAGCATTAGAATTAGAAAGGATCTAAGAGGATACAGTCAATTTGACAAATGAAAGCAGGCAACTGCATAACGGCAGAAAGAAGAAAATATTCCAGGTCCATTTGTTCATTTAACAAATTATTTGTGAAATGCCTATTAGATGCTATGCACTAGGATGCAATAAGAATGAAATGAAAACAGAACATGGTCCCTGACCTTGTAGAGCTTACTGTTACTACTGTTAAAAATTCTTGAAGGAGAGGTACATAACAGTAGGAGTATATACTAAGAAGATAGGACCTACAAAGAGAGGCCAAGACATCTGAGTCTGTAACAAGAATGGAACCTTATGGAAAACCCTCATTTAATGCAGTGTACAGAGGAGGAGCCTAAAGAGGAGATAAAATGAAGGGGCTAGGGAAGCAGAAGGAAAAGTGTCACGGACACAAAGAGTAAAAAGTATTTTAAGGAGTTGTTGAAAGCTGATGAGAGGTTAGTTAGATGTGAAATGAAAAAAAGTGCACGGAATTTAGCAAAATAAAACATTATCTATAACACTGCCAAAAGAATAGTTTTCTAACAAACTTATTACCAGCCAACGCCTACCACCAATTTAAATCTTAAATGGCTTCAAAAATGGTTCTTCATTACTTCTACAATTCTAATGTATATGCCCAATATACATTAATTAGACCCTATCTATTTGTTCAGTCTTATTTCCTATTATTTATGAAAGCTCCTACATGTTTTAGATCTCTGTGTTAATATATATATTCATTCATATTCCCTCTCATTTGGTAAATATTTATTTAGTTCTTACTATAAGCTAAGCACTATTCTAGACCTTCAGATACAAAGGTAAATAAGACTAGCTTCATCTCCTTGTCTCCCTGGTGAACTCCTAACTCCAAGTCAAATCTGAAGAATTACTTTCTCCTCTAAAAAGCACAGGCAAACTTAGAAGCTCCCTCAGATATGAGAACAGGTATCTCTAACTCCTCTCTTTAGTATACTTGGCTTTCTTCCACTGGACTGAGAGGTCCTTGAGGGCAGGGAATCCTGTTTTCTGTATTTGTATTCCACTTCCAGACAGTAAATGTTTACAGAATGAATGAATAAAGACAGTGCCAAAACAAATGAGTGTATTAGTTTCTGAAACCAAAAAACTTAGTATTAAAATTAAAATTCTGAATCAGACATCCTATATATCCATGTAGAAAAGCAAATGACTTTAAAAAGAAGTAACTTTAAAAACTGAAAGGAATAAGCAAAACACTTGTTTTGGATGCTCACATTTCAGCTTTAGGAGACTATTTAGCTGTCAAGCATTTACAATAGTAAACTACAGATGGTTTTTATCCAACATTGCCAAAACATTTCTAAATCGAACAAGATAGTGTTAACGGACTTTATCTTACCTCTATCAAAGGCCACAGGCTGTGCATAAACAATTGGTCTATTCAAGGTAATAAGCACAGCTTCTCTATCTGAAGAACCACTGATTTCTTCTCGGAGGGCATTTCTTAATCCAATTCTGGTTTTAAAATAGGCAACTTGATGAAAATCAGAACCAGCTTCTTCATAAACCTAAAATAAAATTAAACGCTCAATAAAACCAAGTAATGGAAAATGTTTTGACAAAAAACCTAAAAGTTTTAACACCATTAATGGTATTATTCATCAAAAGAACTATCATATATTTTTCTCAATTTTATTTGTCAATGATATATTCCTTATATTCTGTACCATAAACACCTGAAATTAATACATAACATTAACGGGTAAATAAGAAGTAAATATGAAGTCATACATAAAGTTGTAGAAAAGCTAGGATGAGGTCCATATTTTTTTTATTATGTTATGTTAATCACCATACATTACATCATTAGTTTTT